TATAAATGTAAATTAATACAAAAAAGAAAAAAATGAAATTAAATAAAATTAAGAAACTTTTTAAGATATAGAGAATATTTTATAAATATAAATAATAGGAAAAGTATATCCAAATAAATAAAATTTATAAAAATTTACTTAAATATTTTTTTATTATACTTAAAATTTTAAATAAAAAAATTGACAATATATAAATTTTATCTAAAAATTATTATTAAATGATCTTTTTGTAATTATAATGATATTTTTTTCATAATAATTATTTATTATATTTATATTTAAAAATATTATTAAAAAAATGAATATAAATTATATAATTTAATATAAAAGAAGAAATGTATAACTAGATCGAAATAACAATTCTAATAATAATAAAAGTTAAATAAATTATAAAAATGCAATTATATAATAAGAAAATAAAATTGAAAATAAAGAATCTAAGTGAAAACTTAATGAATAATACTTTAAATAATACAAATTATGAAATTTAAAATGTAATTAATAAAAGATTTATTAATTAGTCTAAATTTTGAATTTTTATATAACAAATAATATTAACGAAAATTATCCGAAAACATAAGTTAATAGTTTTCCTAATAATCATAAACTTTAATAGAAAATTATAGTATTGTTAAATATTTTATAATTTCTTTAAAATTAAAAAATTATTGAAAAATAAATTGACTAATCAATAAATGAAATTTAATTTAATTAAACTAAACAAATGATTTACAAATATCTTATAAAATAAATTCCTTCTAAATTTAAAAAAAAAAAAAAATATATAGATTTTTATTTTATTGAAATAAAATAAATATAGCAGACAAAATGAATTTTATTTAATGATTTATTAATAAATAAATTCATTATTTATATATAAAAAAAATCAAAATAAATAAATAGACAATATATTATGCATTTAAAACAAATTTATAGAATAAATTAATTAGTTGTAAATAATAGCTTGTTTATTAAATAAATTTTTAAAAATATTAAATTTAAAAAAATAGTTTTTCATTTTTTTTTATTAACTTTATATCCTCCTCCGATTCTATTGTGTTATTTTTTGGTTCTATTTAAATCTATATTATAATAATTATCATCATCATCATTAAGTTAGTATTAATCTTATTTGCTTTTATTAGCATTAATTACTTCAAATTTTTTTTAAATTTCTTATACTTTTTATTCTAAATTAAACTATTGAGGTAAAGTAGACACAGAAACTTAATTATTTAAAGGATTTTAAATTTAATTTATTTATTATTAATTTTCATATAAATTAGCATTAATAATATCTTTTTATAATTAGCTTTATTAGAAGATATTTTTATTTTTACTTTAGTTTTAATATTTAAGTTAATTATTTATTTCATTGTCTTCTTTTTCTAAATTAAGAATTTCATTTTCATAGTAGCTTTTATCATAAATATTTTGATTTGCATTATGTGAATTTTAAGCATCTATTTTATTTAAAGGATTTTATTGTATTTTTGTATTTTATTGGTTATTTGAATTATTATGAGCTTAATAATAATCAGCATTATTTTAATTTTTCTGTAGACTATTATTTATTAGACTATTTGGATTAATGCTTTATTGTAAATTTACTTATTATTGTTTTTCATATTATGTTGTTGAATTTAATTAAACTATTTTTTATTTTTTCAATAAAGAAAAATAAAAAAATTTACTTTTTTAAACTTAAAATTATGGTTAATTTATTTAATCAGAATTCTAACCAATTATAATTTATTTCTATTATATGTTATTATCAATTTCTTCTATGTTTTATACATTAATTTATTATTTATTATCTTAAATATTTTTTCTTTATTATTATCTTATTATCGTATTTTAATATCATTAACAACTAAAAACTTATTTTTAAATTGAACAAAATATTTTTTATACATAAAAATACTCAACAATATTAAAATAATAGAAAAAGTAAAGATTATAATTTAAAATATAAAAATAGTTTCCATGTAATCATAAAAATAACTATTAATATATTTATTTGTTTCATCATCAGAGCATAAGTTATCATTTAATATTTTTAAAATATTTCCCTGTATAATAACAAGACTAAATGTAGAAATATTAACAACAAAAGACAATAAAAGAATAAAGTAAATAAAACAAATATATGCTGAGATATATTAATTTTTAATAATTTTCTAATAAAAAAACATTCGGAATATACTAAAAATAATAGTATAAAAAACAAATAAAAACCAATTAATAATGCAACAAAAAATCCATAAATTTTTAATTTCATTTAGTTTTTTTACAAATTAATAAAATCGATCATAATATCTTTACAATTTAAAATATTAGAATTCCATTCAATATATCGTTATAAATATAATCCATAAAAAATTTTATCGTTATTACCATAATTAGGTAACTTTAAAATAAATGAAGAATAATTATTTACTTCAAAGAAATCCTTTTCATTTGATTCAGAAAATAAAAAAAATCTATTTGATTTTTCGTTTTCACAACCTGATTTGAATTTTTAATTTAAAAAATATTCATTCCTATCTACACTTACATTTTCTTATTGTTAAAAATACTTACACACACCTTTTCCTTCATTTACAATTCCAAAAACAATTGAAAGTTATTTCTCTTCTTCACGGCTTATAAATATAAAATTATTTTTTAATTAAATTATTTAAATATAACTTTCTGAAGGCTTGTCTTTTCCATAAAAAATTTAATTTATAGGACATTTGTAATTTGCAGGAAGACATATTTATTTTTCTTTTCCGCATTTTTTATATTGTGGATTCTCACAATTACTCATTGCATAAGTAAATCCTTTTGCCCTAACTATACAAAAATGCATTTTTTCACCTTCTATATTCCAATAGTTAAATTTTGAACCTGGTACTGCTGGTATTTACTAGCATTAATTTATTAACTAATGAGTCGTGCATTTAGTTTTGAACATTTTTAAAACATAAAGACTGCTTGAAGATTATTAACAATCACAACCTTCAATTGTTCCCGCATAATTATAATTTACTAAATATTCATCACAATCTTAGTTACTTGCTATTATGTCTATTATCGGCTCTTTTAGCCAATTTTATACTACATAAGCATGATCTTTAGGAATTTAAGGAAATGATAAGTATAATTTTTACTGTAAAAGTGATATTGTTAAGGTAAATATAAACAAAAATATATAAAAAAATAATTCAAAAGAGCACTTTAAAATCATTATTGTTGTTAATATTTATCTTATTTATTTAAATATAAATATTACAGATTAATTTTATATATTTTTATTATAAATTTAGGTTAGGTTAAGTTTTTTTTTTTTAAAATAAATAAAAATAAAATATATTGTTTTTATAATTAACAAGGTTAGATTTTAAATGTAAAATATTTAAATTTAAAGTTTAATTCTAATTAGTAAAATAAAAATTCAGATGAAAACAATAATATATTAAAATGAATAAATGATTTATTAATATTATAATTATATTATGAAGAATAGTAAATGTAAATTGTATTATTTATACTAACTATTTTATCTAACTTTTATTTCAATAAATTATTTAATTATTATTTATTAAGCTCTTTATAATTTCATAAATTTATTTAATAATTAAATAAAATAATTAATTTTTATAAATATAAAATATAATTTTTATAAAGTAAATTACAATTAAATATATATTTATAAATACTAAAGAATATTTTTATTTGTTTTGTCTTAAGTTTTTCTTAATATAAAATGAATATTTCTTTAATCAAATATTTTAAATAATTATCATTATTCAATTATAATTTTTAATAAACTTTATATATTTTAATTTCTTATAATTTGTAAATCAATTTTTATGAATAATTATATGTATAAAATAATATAATTAATGACTAAATCTTGCTAAATTTTTGATTAATCAATAAATAAAAGTACTTACATTATATTTATAAATAATATAAAAAATATAAATCAAATATTATAAGTTTAATTAAAAATGGGGCAATTTTTTTAAAACATCATTAAAAATAAATAATAAAACGATTAATAATTTCATTAAAACATTATCAATTAAATTAGCATTTTATAATAGTAATAATAGATATTATTTTAATTAGAAAAATAATAAATTATGAGGAAATTAAAAAACATAAAATTTAATATAATTTAAAATAATTAGATTGAAACTTCAAATTAAAATCAATTTGAAATTTAATCATATGAATAATAATAAAATAAAATTAAAAATCTTCATAAATTTTAAAAGAAGAAAAGTAAGTAAATCAAGCAAATTGAAATTATGTTTTAACAGTTAACACAATAATTTTAAAATTAAAACTATTAAGTTTTATAATAATTTAGTTTAGAAGATTAAATGAAAAATTAAAATTCTCTTAGAAAAGATTTAAATAATAAAAAATAAATGTATATAATAAAATTAATTTATATATAAAAATATATATAAAATAGATATAAAAAAAGGAACAAAAGATTATTTAAGTATTAAATTAATTATAAATAATATAATAAGTATTTATTTTATAAAGAGTAAAAGAATTAAGAATATTAAATAGATTTATAATTAAAAATAGTACATAAGTTAATTACTTATAAGATAATATTATTTAAAGAATTAACTAAAACTAACAAACAAGGGATATCAGTAGTGAGTTATATAATATTAACTAATTTGAAAATTTAAATAATCAATTAGAAATATGAAATAATAAAATTTAAGGAAATTAAATGAATTTACAATAAAAATAAAAACTAAATTATATTTTTTAAATTTTATTATTTAAAGAGAATATCGAATTAAAATATAGAGAATTCATTTTTTCTATTATTTATTTTCGTTTTACTTAAATAAAAAAAAAATATTTAATTTATTTTTGGTACAAATATTATTTTTTTAATTTTCTAAAATAAAATAAAAAAAAATTATATATTATTAAAATATTTCTATAAAAAACTAAAAATAATATATTTATTAAAAGTATCAAATTTTATTAAATTAATATCCAAAACTCATAGAATAAGATGAAGGTTATGTTTTATCAATATTTTTTAAAATAACATAGTCAACTTATCCTGGTTTTACTTCTATTTATATTGGAATTTAATTATTAGGCTTGTTGTCTACAACCAAATTATTTAAATTCAATTCAAGCTCTTCCTTATATATAATATTTTTAGTTTCATTAATATAAAAAAGAATAATTCCCTCTTAATATTTAATGCTTTTAAAAAAGATATTTTTATCATCTCTTTATTGTCCCTTTTCTTTACTAATTCTTGCATCTTAAATAATCTTATCGATACTAATATTTTAATTAATAATATATCCTTAATCAAAACCATAACTATAAGCACCGTTTCCTTTGCTTTGTATTAAATATTTAATTATTTGAACTTAACCAGGTTTTAAATTAATTTTAAAAGAATTTTTTTTTTTATCAACTTATAATACATCTCGATTATTATCTTCTAAAATTTGCAAATTTTCTCCTTATAGATTTATTTCTTCATCCAAAACAAAATCTTTAGATTAATTTCTATAACAAAAAAACAAATAACCTCCAAACGAAGCACAATCTCTAATTATTTAATTGCACTCTTCATAAACTGTTCTTTTATTTTCTTTCATCGAATTAAATTCTTTTAAAGCTACACAATTATTCATAAATTCATAATAGCCTTAACCTTATTCTATATACCCATTCATTAAATCAATCTTTAAAAAAAAAATACAAACAAATTTAATTTTAATTTACTTCAGAACTTGAGTATATACTAAAAACAAAATCTTAGCATTACTTTTACTGCCAATCTACTTCTATAAAAGCAGCATATATACCTGGCTGAACTTCATGATCAAAGAAAGTCTATTTATAAATTAAAAAAATAAGAAATAATTAACTAAAAATATATGTATAAAAGAACATCTTTAAAGCAACTATATGAATCTCCTAAATAACTAAAAGGTTATTTATTATTATCAAGTTAACAAATAATAAGTCTAATAATAGAATATTTATAATTTGAATTCTGTATTTTTGCAAAATGCCTTTCGCTTTTTTATTATAAAGAAAAATAAGCATGACATTTTTTATTAACATTAAAACAAAAGATCACTTTTTATACATCTTAAAATTTCCTTGAAGAATAAAAATAATTTTCATTTAAAAAGTTTACACTAGTTTCTGAAAACTCTTTAATATAATCCTTCACATCAATCCAGAAAATTCCATCATCATTGTCTTAAAACCCGACTTTTTTTTTCAGCTCAGGAGTCCATTTATTACTTTTATCACTCCAATCACCTTTCCATTCCATAGTCCCCCAAGGGTTTCTGACTTAAATAAGTCTTGCAATTCCAATATCTTAGGCATCTAGAATTCCATAAGCATGTGAAGATACTATACCTGATTCCTTTTTAGTTTCCATTCCTCTATCATCAGATTAAGAACCACATGTTAATAAATATTTTTTACGCTCATTTTTTAATATAAAATCCCAAACTTCTTCCACATTTTCATTTTTTATAGTCTTCCCTGGAGCCCCTGTTAAATCTCTTATTGCTTCTATTGTTTAACCTGCTTCAATTTTATCATATGAACCATGGATCTTTGCATAAACTTTTTCCATTATTAATACCCATAACTCAGGTCCGTTTGTGCGTGAAAATACAGGCTATTTTGATTATTTATCACATGGAAAGTAATCATCAATTATTATTTATTACCATTCTCCATCTACACACATCCACAATGAATAACAGCCTTTATCATTATACTCTTGCGTAACAAAAAGGCGTTTAACTAAATTTGGATTTTCTGCCAAAACACTTAAGCTACTTAAAAAATAACAATCACCTAATTCTCCTTTTTAATTTTTTATTAAAATTTTTTATTTTATTAAATACCTTATTTAATATCATTAGGTGAAATTTCTTAATAAAATATTTAAGGAGTTTATTCACAGAATTATCTAGCTCTTAGCCATACATATTAACTTGCTTTTGGAAAGGCTTTAATATTTTTTGTTAATGAATCTAATTGTGGTGGAAATTATGTATCAGTGTATGCTGAGGTAAGACTTTAATAATATTTATTGAAATCTGTATCTATTTCATTTAATATTTTGTCTTAAATATCTGCATTAGGAAATTAAAGATTAAATTTAACACTTTTTTATTTATTGGGATTAACTTCGTTTTCGTCTAATAGATTTAATGTTTATTAACTTTTTTTAATATTAATTGAATTATATTTACTTTGTTTTTTACTTTATATCTTTTATTATAGGTTTAGTTAGTGTCTATTTCTATATTTTTTTATTTAATATATATATATATAAATATTATTTTATACTCTTATTCTATTATCTTCTTTTATTTTATTTTCATCTTCTTATATTGAATTATCACTATTTTTTTCCTCTTTTTCTTAATAATTGTTTTAGGAAATATCATGTTAGTCATAATCATTTTAATCATCATCATTTTTTTCAAAATTATTTTATACTTCATCTTAATTTTAAGAATTATTTTCTTCATCAAAGTTTTGATCATATTCATTATCTTAATTATCTTGATTATATTAATTATCTTGATTATCTTAATTATCTTGATTATCTTAATTATCTTGATTATCTTGATTATCTTGATTATCTTGATTATCTTGATTATCTTGATTATCTTGATTATCTTGATTATCTTGATTATTTTAATTATCTTAAATATCTTAATTATCTTAACTATCTTAGTATTCTTAACATTCTTAATTATCTTAATTATCTTAATTATCTTAATTATCTTAATTATCTTAATTATCTTAATTATCTTAATTATCTTAATTATCTTAATTATTTTAATTATCTTAATTATCTTAATTATTTTAATTATTTTAATTATCTTAATTATCTTAATTATTTTAATTATCTATATTATCTATATTATCTATATTATTTGTATTATCTTAATATTCCTAATTATCTTAATTGTCTTAATTATCTATATTATCTTAATAATCTTAATTATCTATATTATCTTAGTTATTTTTATTATCTATATTGACTTATTAATCTTAATTATCCTAATTGTCTTAATTATCTTAATTATTTTAATTATTTTAATTATCTTAATTATCTTAATTATCTTTATTATCTTAGTATTCTTAATTACCTTAATTATCTTAATTATCTTGCATATTTGAATCATAATCGCCATTTTTTTAAAACTAATTTTCCTCGTCATCTTATTATTCATTATCTTATAATTAATTTTATTTAGAGTTTTCTTTTTTTTTATTTTTATTAACCTATTTAGAAATAGATTAATTAGAATTTATTTTATTTTTATCATCTATAATATTAATTTAATCTTCTTCTTATTTAGTGCTTATTTAAAATTTTACCTGTTATTTTTTCTAACTATTTTTAAAAAATTACAAAAATTCTTCAATATCAATAATTCCATTTTAATTACTATCGAAAAGCTTAATAACTTATGAAATTTATTTCATCTCTAGTCCTAAATCATTTAATCCAAATTTTAATTCTATAATTTGAATATTTCCATTACCGTTTCTATCTATTCTATTGAAAAGTTCTTCTGGGCTGAGCTCATTTTTTTACATGAAATCTTAAAACCTTTCCAAAATTTCCTTTTTTCTTTCTCTTCTACTTTTAATCCTTCACTAATCAATATATTTAAATAATCATGAGTCTCATCTACAGTAAGGAAAGTATAAAATTCAGCTTCTTCAATTAATCCATTATTATTATCGTCAATAACATTCAAAAAATGTTAAATTTTTTCCAAATCAATATTTGGAGCTAAAATTTTTGCATTTTCAATTAATTTTTCTTTAGAGGATTCTTTCAAATTTTTTTCGTCTGAAATTTTGAACCAATTGATAGGATCAATTTTGAATTTTAATAAAAAATCTAAAAATTCTTTCATTTAATTTTCTTTTGAATTTTCTCCTTCTTTCATTAATTCTTAATACTTATTAAATTCCCTTAAGAAATTACTCCTTTTAATTTCACCTTAATTTTATGGATCTAAAGCTCTTATAATACAATAAAGCTCCATTTCTTGTAAAAATATATTCCTTTTAGTTAAAAATTCTTCAAGATCTTATACTTTAATAATTTATTAATCTTCTTTTTTACATATTGAATTAAATATCTGCTAAAAATTTGTATTTTAGTTTTTATAAATTTCTTTTAAACGTAAAACAAGATTCATGAAAACAGTTTTTTCTTAATTTCTTTGGATTGTTAATTTCTATCTAGACTCACTATTTAAATTATATAAAGCTAAACACCTTAAATATTCTTCTTTTTCAATAATACCATTACAATTTTCATCGAAAACTTAAACAATTTAATTTAATTATTCATTTGTGAAATTTGTTTTTAATTAAATCAATAATTAATAAAATTTCTCAAATTCAATTTATTTTTTATTTTATTTATCCGTACATCTAAATAACATTTCATAATTTAAACCTCTGTTTTATAATTTTTAATGGAATTATTTTAATAGTTATTCATTTTTTATTGGTTTATATTCTTAATCCTTTTTTTATACATTTATTAAATCTTTATTTTCTTCAATTTATATATTTATTTCTTTTTTATTTTATATTTGTTTTAATATTCTATTGTTTTGGATCATTGCTTCACTTATTAATTATGTAAATTCATTTTTATTTATTGATTATGTTTATTATTTTATAATTTTTATTTGTTTTTTTATTTAATCATTTTCATTAACTATTTAGATAATCTTTTTCTTTAATATTTTTGATGCTTATTTATATTCTTCTATAGTGTGCTACATTTTAGTTTGCGACATTTTATTAATAAAATAAATATATTTTTTTTTAATATTTTTAAATATAAATTTATGTTATTTTATTTAAATTAATGTTTTATTTTAAATTTATAAAATAAAATATTAATTGTTGTGGAGTATTTTGTTATTAAGTATTATTTATTTTATAATTGCTTTTTTTAATCAAAAAAAGTATTATTTTTTTTTCAAGAAACAAATATAATATAAATTTATAATATTAAAAATGCTTTTATTTCAAGAACTATTATAAATATCAGTATGTTCGAGGAAAATTTTAAAATAATGATAATTTAGATGGGCATATTATAAATTAAATCATATATTCCCTAAAATAATAATAATTATATTTACTTTCAATAGTAGAACTAGTTAATATATTAATAAACTAATACAAATTTTTTATAGATTTATAATTTCATCTATATTTTTAATAAATTTATTATAATTTTAAATTTTTCAATGTATTCCAAACTGAATGAAATATATTTTAATTTTAGAATTTTTTATTTATAAAAAAAATGTATGATATTTTTTTTTATTATCTTTTAAAAAAAAGAAAAATTATAAATTTTTTTGTTAAAAAATACAATTAATATATAAAATCATTTAATTTTTATTTTTTTAAATTTACTATTTCCTTAATAATCTAAATCCTTTGGTTTTTTAAATTATTCTTTCATTTATTTAAAATCTTTTTTGTATTTCTTACCTTCTTTAGAAATATCTTTTTAGTTATTATTTTTTTATTTTTTTTATTCTTTAAACTAATCATAATTATTATTTTTTTAATAACTATGAAAATCATAACTATCATAATAAATTTCGTCTTTTTTTTAATTATAATGTTTTCTAGAGTTATACTCATCTCTTAATTCATATTTTTTTTCAGAAGATTGTTTTTTTTCTGAATATTTTTGAGTTTTTTTTTCTGAATAATTTTGAGATTTTTTTTTATAGTCTCTTCTGTCTTTGCTAAAACTTTTTTAACTTTTTTCATATTTCCTACTATTATCATTTTCATAATCATAATTTCTTCTTCCATTTTAAGACGATTTTCTATTTTTAAAATATGAAACTTCCTCAACTTTAAAATCTTTTTTTTTAAAGTTTTTAAAAGAGGATTTACTACTATTGCTTTTTTTAAATGCTTTCCTTTTTTTATTATATATATCAACATTTTTTTAGTCATAGATTTTATCATCTCTTTCTTAAAAAGATAAATTTATGAAAGAATTCCCTTAAGAAATCGAATCTTGTTCATTGGAACTTTCAAAATCACTATCATTATATAATTGATCATTAACAATAATTTTATTACAATTTATATGTCCTTTTTTTTCACAATTTAAACACAGGAGTTTTTTATGATCATATTTTAGCCATTCCTATTCAATACCTTAAAAGTTTCTATTCTATTCTTGCAATTATTATACTCTATCAGAAAATTAAATAGATCCACATTATTATTTAGAGTGTCCTTTTTTTTAGCATCTTTGACATCCATATTATTCATTTATGAATTCACAATTATTCCATGAATGTCCTAATTAGTTACATTTTCCACATGTCTTTTCATTACATTCATATTGCAAATGATCTCCTAAGCAAAAATAACATGCTAATTTTTTCTCTAAAATACATGTTCTTTCTTAATGGCCATACTTTTTACATCTTTTACATGTAAATTAACGCTTTTGTTCTTATAAAAAATATCTATTATTTTTATCAACATAAAAAAGACTGCTTATTTTTCGTTTTCTTATTCTTCTTTTTCTTAAATATAATTTTCTTGTTTTTATTCTTCCTCTTGCTTTTTTACAGGCTCTTTTATTTAGTTTTTTAGCTTTAAATATTCTCCTTCGTTTTTTTGCTTCTCATTAAAAGTTCTCACTTTTTATGATAAATTACCTCCACAAGTAAAAAAAGATTTATCTTCGCCAACAACTTTGTATATTTTTTATTCATCATATGACATTTGATTTAACAATTCAGCTGAAATTACTCCATTAAATGGACATATATCTATATTATATTTTAACGTTTTATTTTACTAAATAATATCATTTGCATTCATTTAATCTTTTTTTTATTCAGGTTCACTTTCTTTTTATTTATTTTTATCGCGAATTTTTTCTTCTTGGAATTTTGATATCTTTTTTTAAACATCAATATTTACTTTAGTATTCTTTTTATTATTTTTCTTTTATATTTTATTTTTATTTATTCATATTTATCAATTGATAAATTAAAAAAATTAATCTGTAATGGATTTTTTTTAAACAAAAATATATATTTACTTAAATATCATCATCTGATTCTGAAAAATTATAATATTGATAAGATTTCATATTATAGTTAATTTATTTTAATTTTTTTATCTTATTTATTAGTTATTTTATAAAGGATAAAAATAAATATTTATATTACAATTTAATTATTATATGTAATATTTTTAAAACACTTAAAGAATTAATATAAAATATTAAAAAGAATTATATAAAATATACAATATAAAAGACAGCTTATTTTTATTATTTTTAAAAACATTTTCATTAACTATTTAAAATAATTAAACACTATCCAAACTTAATTTATAATTAATAATAATTTATTCAGTTTAAATAACATTTGTATTGAATATAAATATATTCTTATTGAATTATGTATATTATAAATTTTAATATTGATTTCATATTTATTATTTCATTTTATATACTTATACATAATAAATAAACAATTAAATTATATAGTTTAAAAATTTGTTTCTTTCATATTTAAATTTCATAGATTTAAAAATTTTGATTTATTATATATTTTAGTTGAAAAATAAACATTTTTTACAAAATTAAATTTTAATTAAATATTTATTTGTATATACCCTTTTAGCCATAATATAAAAATTTTTTTTATATTACTTACAATTTTATTTTTATTTTTAATTTTTCTAATTATTTTCCAAAAATAATTAAAAATATATATCAATAATAGAAAAAAAGTTCTTATATATTTAAATTTCAGCAAGTTGAAATTTGATTATATTTTTATTTTAATTATCTTCTAAATAAAAAAGAAAACAATTTTTTTTTTAAATAAATACAAAAAAAAAATGAAATAATTTTTAATAATATCATTAATAATAGCTTTAACGACAGCTTTCGTGACAATACCAGTAAAGAAAACCTAAGAAAACGATATACAAAAAATTCTTCGTTTGAACTACTTAACAAATAATTATTAATATATCTTATAAAAATTTTTACCAAATCATTTGTCTTAAAATTGGCCTGAGGTGAAGATAAACAACTTTATGGACGCTTAGTATTACGGGGAAGTCTAAATTGGAACACCTCCATAATCTTTCTAAGTTATATTTGATACTGGTTCATCTAACTTGTGGGTTCCCTCATCCGAATGTGGAATATTATCAATAGCTTGTAGACTTCATACAAGATATGATAAGACAAAATCATCAACATATGGTAAGAACGGAACACATTTTGATATTAAATACGGGTCTGGAGGAGTAAGTGGTCATTGGACTTAAGAAACTATAATTTTAGGAGGGTTAACAGCCTAAAATGTTACTATTGGAGAAGCTACATCAATGAAAGGCCTTTCTTTCTTAGTTAGTAAATTTGACGGTATTTTAGGTTTGGCATACCCTAAGATTTCAGTTGATAATGCAACCCCTGTTTTCATGAAACTTATTGAATAAGGAAAAGTTTAAGATGGATCTTTTGCCTTTTTCTTGACAAACAAAGCTGGCTAAGAAGGCTCTCGTTTAATTTTGGGTGGTTTTGATCCATAATATGCTGCAACACCATTCAAATATTATCCTGTATCTCTAGAAGCTTGGTGGGTTATCGATGTTGATAGAGTTGCTTTAGGAAACACAACTTATTAAATATAAAAAGCTATTGTAGATACTGGCACTTCTGTTATGGTTGGTCCTAAAAGTGTAATTGAAGAAATGAAAAAATAATTACCTAATTAAGGAAAATAAAAAGTTGACTGTTCTACTATTTCTGAATTCCCCAACCTTACTTTTAATATTGGTGGCGATGATTATATCTTAGAACCTGCTGATTATATCATTTAGATTACTTCTGGATCCTAAAGTTAATGTGTTCTTGGGTTGTAAGGATTAGATATGCCTGGTCCTCTTGCTTAAGCTTTCATTTTGGGCGATTCATTTATTCATAAATATTACACTCATTTTGATTAAGCTAATAAAAGAGTTGGATTTGCTTTGGCTAAACATTGATTACTTTTTATTATAAAATTATTTTTTTTATTATAAAACTAAATATATTTTTATTAATAGATATATTTTTAATAATATTTTTATTAAATAATATTTTTTTATATATATTTACTAATATATATGTCATAATATATTAAACTTTTATATATTAATTTTTTAATATTTATATAAGATTAATAGCCAAAATTAAAACATTTAAAAATAAATTAATACATATAAAATATTTGAGCAAATATTATAAATTTTTAATAATTTTATCTAAAAATAAATATGAAAATTTTTTAATATTATTAAAACCTAAAAATTGCAAAAAATCGGAATTATATATATTTATATTTTTATTTTTTGGACAAATATAATTTATTGTAATTTTTATTTTTGAACAAAATATTATAAAACCGCGAAATATAAAAATGGATTAAGATCATAATATAACTTATTATTAATCGGAAATAGAAAACAAAATTTTAAAAATTAAATAATTTAATGAAACATTTTTTAACAAGATAATATCTTAGTTGATTTAGACAGCGAAAACGATATGTATATCAAATAAATTAAAGGCGAAAGAGCATCAAAAAAATACATAAAAATCAATGACGAGTTTTATTAAGATATTTAAACAAAGTAAAAACAAAGAAATTTAACCTTTAATTGATTACACTAATTTAAATTCAGACTAATAGTTACTACTATATTAAAACTAATATTCTAATTATATATTGATAACTAAAAATATCGTAGCAAGAGAAGTAATGACTTTTCTATTTCCTTGCCTTAATTATTGTGAAAATGATGACAATATTATTAATGAGTTTTAAATTAAAAATTCTTAAGAAAAAAGTTAAAATTAAATACTAAAAGAATGGTTAATAATAAAAAATGCAAATAATTTAGTTGTTGATTTAAGTAATAAAATTTAAACATTGTTTTTATAAACTATTTAAATTTTATAAAATTAATTTGTTTTAAAATTTAAAAAAAAGACGAAAATACCATAATATATTCATTAATAAATAATACTGAAAAGGATATTAATAAAGAAATTTTCATTTGTTTAAAATAATATTTTGAATAAGAAAATGTAAAAATTTAAAGTTTTTAAGAAAGGTAATTTTTTTAAAATAAATATTTTTATATGTAATAATTTTAAAAAATATATTTATATTTTTATAGGATAGATAATATTCACTTAACTTATGATAGTCATATAAAATACAAATATGGAATAACAATAGATGACGAAGTAATTACTTTTTCTTCAATAACTTCTACTTTTAAAAGTTTTTTTTGTCAAAGATGTTATTTATATGATTGCAAAAAACACTAAATGAAATAAGTTTACTCAATTTTTTATAAATATATTTATGCATAATATTTTTTTATTATAATTTACTTTTTCTATAGATTTTTATATAACAAATTTTTTTAGGATACTAATTTTTATTTTCCGGAAACGTTTAATAGTAATGATATAAAATAAATAAGTAAACTCCAAGATTTTTACAACAATTATTTGTTAAAAAATATAAAATACTAAGGAAGTGCTTGCTCAGAATAGTGTTATTTAAATTTAAATATTAACGATTTTTAGTCAGTAAAAAAACTAAAATATACTAAATAAGTTTAATATATATACTAACTATATAAATTTAGTTGATTTCAGATAAATATCAAAATGAATTTGATAATCAATTTTAAAAAGCATATATGGAGTAAGGAATATAACGATTTTCTTACAATCCTTGTAAAATATCATTAATAGATTTATCTTATAATTGTAATTAAATGTTTGTATATTTGATTAGAATAATTATTAATAAAAATAATTTTTTTAACAATAAATCTGTAAAAAAGTCAAAGTCCAAATTAAAAAAAAATAGTAATCGTAATATATATAATAAGTTACAATATTACGAACCTTGTTATCATTATAATTTTTATAATTAACCATCTGATATTTAGTGTTTGAATTGCATGTTATTAAATATTATATAATAAATCATAAATAATATAAAAATTAAAAAAAAAGATGTGCTGAAAGAGGATTTTGTGATATATATTGTGGTTGTGATATTAATGATTGTAAAATAAGAAAAAAAGGATGTCGTTGTATTAATGGAAAATGTAAAACAAACCTTTGTATTTGTTTTAGTTTAGGTATGGAATGTGATCCTGAAGTATTAAATTTTAAAAATAATATATATTAATAAAATTGAAAATAAAAAAGATTTGTAATATGTGCTATGGATGTGAAAAAAAGAACAGATGTGAAAATAATGAATATGTTTACAGAAAATAAGCAGTAAAAAAGATATTTCAATAAAAATATAAAAATAAAATAATATATTTAAATTTAAATTATTAATTAATTCAGAAATATGCTTTTTTAAGTATTGTTTAACACAAAAAAATGTTTTCTCTAAAATTCAATTTTAATATTAATAATTTAATTAAAATTTATTAAATTTTTTTATATTTAAATAGAGAACAGTTATAGGTGTTTCCTCAGCTTGTAACGGTTTAGGATTATATAATACTTAACCAATAAATGAAAATTGTTTAGTAGTTTTATATATAGGAGAGCTTATTAGTGAGGATGAATTAATTATCAGAGAAAGCTGGTTTAAATCTGATTAATTATATAGTTTTATTAAAAATGATTATGAAAAACTTACTGACTCAAAGTTTTTTGGAAACAAAGTATTTTTAATTTATAATTATTGATTGTTTTTATTTTATTAGAGTAGATTTATTAATCATAGTTTTAATTTGTAAAATTGTTATGCCAAAAATATTTATTCAAAAGGAGATTATCATTTAGGATTATATGCTAAATTTTTTATACCTCCTGGAAACGAACTGTTTTTTGATTATGATGCAGATAAAACTTTATTGTAGAATAATTTTTGGATTTCATAAGAAAATAATTTAATTAATAAATTAACTAAAAATAAATAGATTATAATTAAAAAATAGATTATAGATAAATATTGAATAAAAGATATATTTAAAAGAAAATTATATAAAAATATATATAAAAAATTATTTTTAATAAAAAATTATAATAAAAAAAATAAAATAAATTCATAATAAATATTGTAAAAAATAATAAATCATACAATTAAAAAAAATAATTATTAATATAGTAAAAAAAATAAGATTAATAAAAAAATTAAAATATATTTAAAATATAAATATGATATTAATATAAAAAAAATATAAATTTAAAATAAAATTTTTTTATGAAATAAAAAAATAAGAAATAAAAGAAAATTTAAAAAAATAAATAAAAATATTAATAAAATTAAAATATTGTATGTCTATATTATTTAAAATATTTAAATAAAAATAAATTATTTAATATATATTTATATATTTATATATTTATATATTTATTTTTTTTTATATTGCAAAACATTTTTTTTTTATTAGAATAATTTTAATATTTTTAAAGAAGTTTTATTTAAAATTAATTAATGAATAACAATTTAAAATAATAACTAAAATTTAATAATTCTGATTTTATTTCTTTAAATTAAAATGATATATCTAATTAATCTATTAATAATAATATATCTCCTTAATCTATTTAAAATGAAAAATTTTTAGATAATAAATAAATTAATAAATCTATATAGGATTTAAAAATAACATAAAAACAATTAAAAGATGTAGTAATTAAAAGTTTGAAAAAGCTAAATAAACCTGGATAATTTTATTAAAATTTAGAATAAAAAAAATTAAATGACTTTTATAAATCTAATAAAATTTAAAATAAAAATAAAAATATAAATAAAAATCAGCATTTTTCTTCTGTTTTTAGTTCATAATCATTTAATTCAGAAAAATTAGATGTAAATCTGTAAATAATATAAAATGCTTAATAAAAATAAGAAAATTTAAATTAGGATTAAAATAATATAAAAGATTAAATATAAAACATTATCTAACAGCCATATAATAATTAATAATAAAATAATTATGAATTAAATAATAATAATACATTTCCATTAAATTATAATAATTAAATAGATTTTTATAGTAAATAATAAGATTAAGAAAGTTAAATAAAATATAAAATAGAATTATAAGATGATGAAATTAAAGATTTGTAATGGCTAAATCCAAATATTGTATATTCAGAATCTGCAAATTATATATATATTTCAGAATAGTATAGAAATGTATAAAAAAAAATATATATAATATTGTAAATATAATATTTTATTTTTAAAATTAATAGTTATGATAATTAATATATTTAAAATTTCTATAAAAATAAAAAAAATATTTATACTTCAAATCCTACTAAAATTAAAAGATAGTTTATATGCAAATTTTGTTGAATAAATAATGTTTTATGTAATTTAAAAAAAATATATTAAAAAAATTTATTATGAATTATAAATATATAAATAATAATATTAATATTTGTTTAATAGATATAGATGAAATTAAATATATATATAAAAAATATATATAAATAAATAAATTTAAAACAATAATTTAAGTAAATAATAAATAGTGTTAGTTACAATATATATATATATATATATATATATATATACATTTATATATATATTTATATAAATTATTTATACTTTAATTAAATTATATAATATTTTATAATTAGATTTTTATAATAACTTATAATGTATTAAATTTAGATTGAAATATTTCAACTATATTTATATTTTAAAAATATTTTATCTATCATAAATTATAAGATATTTCAATATTAAAATTTTCATAATTTTTTTTTTTCATAGATGATCTAATGATATTTAAATAAAATTTAAAATATTTATATCCTTTTTTATTTAATTATATAAATATATTTATATTATTATTTTAAAAATTCACATTAATATAATTAAATTATAATGCTAATTTTAAATAAATAATCAAAATATATATAAAAATTTAAAATTAAAATATGTTTTTTTATTAAAATATTAAAAAAAGTTAATTGAAATAAAATATAATATGTATATACATTTTCAAGGTTAAAATTTAATTAAATACATTAAAATAATTAAAAAAAAAAAAGTTAACAATAATAATTAAAAATGCAACAAAATATTAAAAATATCAAGTAACTTTATTAAAACAAACATAAACGATCGATTTCAACATAAGCTACATAAAAGTAATATTAAATTTTAGATTAGATTAAATAAAATTAATAATTATAAAATATTAACTAAACCCAGGAAAGTTAATAAAATAAAATTAAATTAAAAATATTATAAACACCAAGGAAGTCATACATCTATAATTAAAATTTTGTAAAAGATTAAATAAATAACAAAACATTTAAATGCAATTCAAAACATTAATAAGAGAAGTAATTAATTAAATATTTTAAAGACTTTTCTTAAAGCAAATAATTATAAACTGAAAACTTAAGATAAGAAAAAGATATTTTTTAATATTAATCTCCAACAAATTATAGATAACGAAAACTGATTTTTTCTTAAATATATAAATCAGAAAATATTAAGCAAAATCAATTTATTATCAAAGGGAAAGAACTAATGAAGCAAGGAGAATTTAATTAAGCTTTATTACAATTTTAAGAAGCTTTAATAAATGATCCTTAATTATAAGAAGCTTAGTATTTATAAGCTATATGTTATCTCTAGCTTGAAAAGTTTTAAAAATCTATAGATTTGTTTAGTGATTTAATTGAAAAGCAGCAAGATTATAGAAGAAATATTTATTTATTAGTGGCTATTTGTTATAAAAAAATAAATTAATTAAATGCTGCCATATAAATTGTAAAATATAATTTTAAAATCAAATAAAGAAATACTTTTATTTTTATAAAATTAATTAAATTTACTTATATTTTTATCAAAACATAATAAATTAAAAAAAGCTAAATAAAGGAATACAGTATTATCCAAAATATTATGATGCATATGTTTATCATGGAAAGCTTTAAGTAAAAACAAAAAGATATGAAAAAGCAATAATAGATTTTGAAATGGCAATATAACTAAAGCCTTTTTGTGGCTTAGGATATATAGGAAAGGCTGATTGTCTAAGACATTTGAAAAAATTTAATGAAGCAATAGAAATATATTCATTTACTATAAAATTAGATTAAAATATTTGCAAAATTGCTTTACAAAAGCGAGCTGTTTGTTATATTGAATTTAAACATTTTGATTAAGCTAGAAATGATCTAAATTCTGTAACATTATTAGTTTTATTTATTTTATTTTTTAATAATAAATAATTAAAAAAAGCTTTTATAAAGCGATCCTACTAATTCAGAAGCTTTTTATTTTAAAGGAATATTATTAATAAAAGAAAGTAATAAAATACATTTATATATAGATATATATTTAAAAAATATATAAAAAAAGACAAATTAAACGAAGCTTTGCTTTCCTTTGAATAAGCAATAAAATATAATAATTCAAGCAAAGCAATTGTAAAATCACTTCAAGAAATAGCAAAAATCAAAATTTAATTTAGAGATTATTATTAAGCTTATTATACCCTTTAAAGAGCCAATTATTTAGATATTGATAATAAAAAGTTAAAAATATTGACAATTTTTACAGATGGAGTGACATTTTTAATGAAAAGAAAATATAAAGAAGGAATTCACTGTTTAACAGAATTAATAAATAAAAATACATTAAATGAATTTTTGCATCCATTAGTATATACACACAGGGCATATGGTTATTTTTGTTTAGGAAAACATCAGAAATGTATAAACGACTTAGAAAACGTATAAAATTTAGACATAGGTTCAATATATAATAAATATATTTGCTAAAGTATTATTTCGTGTGCATAAAACTAATTCGAAAAAGCAATAAAACTTCTTAATTCCGCTAATAAAATATCACCAAAAAAAATGGAGCCTTTTTTTTATAAAGGAATGGTTTTTGTAAAATTTGGCAATAAACTAATAAATAAAAACAGTCATTAAAAAAAATTGTAATATGTTTAAAATGCAATAAAAAATTTTGATAAAGCAATTATTTTAAATGACTAAAATGCTAATATTTATTATTATAGAGCTATCTTAAATTTTTTTTTAATTGAAAATAACATTGTAAATGACAAAATAAATATATATAAACAAATAAACGATGATTTAGATAAAGCAATAGAAAAATCACAAGAAAATATTTCTAATCATTTTTATGTAAGAGGTTTATTAAATGCATATTGCAACTAAGTGAATTCAGCTATAAGTGACCTTTCTATAGCGATTACTTTAGATGATACTTTATCTAATGCTTATTTAAATAGGTCTAAATGCTTCCTATTAACAGGTGATAAGAGTTCAGCATTTGAGGATTTATAAAGATATGTTGACATAAAAAGAAAAACTATTAAAAAGGAAGATGACTCTTCTGATATACATTTATGGTCCGGAAACTTACTTTTTAATATAGGAGCTTTTGAAGATGCTATAAAAGCTTATTCAAATATAAATGGAATAAATAAAAATGAAGAATATTTATTGCTTAGAATAAAATGTTATTTTGCAATGAAAGATTTAACAAGTACTATTGAAGATATTGATAGTTTACTTTAATTGAATAGTAATAATAAGGAAATTTCAATTGATAAAATATGTTTGGAAAGCTTAAAATCATTTATTTGTTAAAAAAACTATTAGGGTTAAAAAGAGGGAATTTAATAAATTAAAAGTATAACTAAACAAAAAAGTGGTTTTTTTTTTAAATGGTCTGATATAGTATTTTACAAAGCTGTGTTTTATTTCTAAACTGGAAATTTCATTAAAGCTATCAAAAACTTTCAAAAATCAATATAAATTAAAGGAGTTGAATGTAATAATAATAATAAACTTTATGAATTTGATTTTGATAATTAAACTTATAATATTTACGAGTTTTATTATAGTTGTGCAGCTTGCTTTATTATGATGAAATAATATAAATAAGCTATTAAATAACTGTAACAATTGAAAGAAATAATACCTAATGAAGGAATAATTAAATAATTAGATTTAATTATCTAAATTTTATATGATGAAATGTAAAATAGTATATTAAGTTCTTAATATTGTAATATACCTATTTATATTATATATAATAATTATAGATTATTTTTTATTATTAATTAGTAGATGATTCTTAAATAAATTAACTTTGCAATATAGAAATTTTTCCTTATAAAAATAGATTTTGTTCAACTTTTAAATCTTAATAAGCACAATTTTAAATATATAAATATTTTGTAAAATAACTAAAATTTTATATATATATATAATTTTAAAACATATAAAAGAAAATAAAACTTTATTTTTGTTTACCTTATGTTGAATATCCTTCAATAAAACCTTAGTTTGATAATTCTTTGATTGAAAACTTTAAAGTATATTATTATAAACATTATCTTTTAAATTAATTTTTAAAGCCTGAATTAGTAGAAAACAAACCTGAGGCACCTTGGATAAGAAAATGTTAAGATGGATTTATTCTTACAGAAAATATATAATATTTTGATAACTTAGATTTATAAACCGAAACTAAAATTGATATTAGTATTTAAATAAGAATAAAAAAAATTATTTTAATTAATTTTTTAGATTAAGTATAAAAATTGGAAACTAATATTATCAGCAATTCATAAATATTAGATTTAAATAACGATGATATAAATAGTTAAAGTTAATGTAATTTTTTTAATTATTTTTTTATAAATAATTATATATGTATTGAATAGAATAAAGTTAAATATTTTAGTCTATAAATAAATAAAATCTAAAAGAGATGTTTAAATTAAACGAAAACGTAGAAAAAAACTAAACTAAATAATCTCAAAAAATTAATGAAATCGAAATTTGTAAATATATAAAATAATCCTTTTATATGAAATATAAAAAAAATATTTTAGAAAAAATAACTTACTAATATTAATTAATTATTTATTTTTTAATTATTTAAGTGTTTGGTAAATATTTTTAATTATTTATATTTTTTTGTAATTTTTAATTACAAATTTCTTTTGTTTTTTTTTATTCTTACAAATATATACAATTTAGAAATATCTTCAAAATATATAAAATAAAAAACAATAATTTGGGATTAATCAAAATCACAAAATTCACTTTTAAAATAAATAAATAAATTTTTTAAAATTAATATTTCAATAAATATAAAAAAATTAAAGTAAGCATACTAAGATATAAAAGTATATAATAAGTACTAAATAAAATTCAATGCAGATGATTTAATGTATTTTAAATTAATAAACAATACGTTATTAACCTATAAGAAATAAATCGGATACCAGTTAATTGAAGTTTATGTTGTAATGAAGTTATTATGAATGAAAGTAAATTAACAAGTAAAAAAAAAATTGTAAATTGAAAAAATAAATTAATAAATAAAAAACAAGAAAAAACTTAAATCATTAAAATTTTAAAAATAGAATAAATAGAAAAAGCTGAAAAAAACTAGTAAGAAATAAAATATAGTAATTAATAAATATTTCTTAGAAAATTAACAAATTATTTTGGTAAAGAATTATTAATCATATAATTAAATTTAGAAAATCATAATAAATTTTTCAATTAAAGATAAAACTAAAAATAAAATAATTTCAATAAATTTAGAACATAAAAATATTAAAACGCAAAAACAAAAAATATTGAATTGATTGAAAAAAAAAATTGTTGATTTTACTAAAAATAATTTTAAAAAATATACAATAGTTAATATTAATTTTATTGTACAGATTAATAAAAAATTGTAATTAATAATTAATTCTGATTCTCACATTGTATATATTTTAAAAAATAAAAGAGTTCAGTGTAATAAATAAAATAATAATAATATTTAAATGAAATTATTAATACATTTAAAATAATAAATTATTTAAATAAAAAATTAAAAAATAAATATATATTTATTTTTATAAAAGTAAATGAATAATTTTAATGATAATATTAAAAAAAAATATATCTTAAGAAAGTTTAAAAAACAAATATTAAAAAATATTAATATAAAATATACATATTGAATATAATACTTAAATTTAGAAAAATAATCAAATTTAATAAAGTAATATAATCTAAAATTTTTAAATAAAGTATTGTTAAAACAATTATAATAATAAATAAATGATAAAGATTATTTAAAAAAATAAGTTTGATATTAAAATTATTTAAAATTTGTTAAATAAATATATTAAAAAAAAATTAAGTTTATATTAATCCTAATATAAATAATAATTTAAAAAAAAAAAATGTATTGATTAAATATTTTAATAATTTTATAAATAATATTTTATATTATTATTAAAATATATTTTTGTATTCTATTAATTAACTAAAAGAATAAAAATTATCTAATTTAAAATTTAAATTAATTGTATAAAAAAAAAATAGATATTTATAATAATAAAAAATAATAAATTAATTAATAAAAAAAATATATAATTCTTATTATGACATTTTAATAAAATTGATTTCATTAACTGTTATATAAAAAATTTAAAATAATTATGATTTAAATTAAATTAAATTAAATTAAATTAAATTAAAATTAATTAATATAAAAAATATATAATCTTATTAAATATTATTTGAAATACATCATAATATATATATTAATATATTATTAATTATTCATAAATAAATTAAAAAAATAATTAATTATTCTTTAGAAATTAGAAACAAAAATAATATAATTATATATCAATAACTTAAAAGAATATTAAAAATATAAAGTTGTCCATGAGTAATTAAGATTTACAAGAGATAAATGAAATAAAAAATTAAGATAATGATTTGACAAACTAAAAATATGATTATAATTAAGAAGATGAAAATAAATAAAAAGATATATATGAACCATAAAATGAATATCTTTAAACAATAAATTCCCCTGAAACATTTTAAACTGATGCTTTAAATTAAAAAGCATTTAAATAAAAAAATTCATAACCTAATAGTCCTTAATCTTAAAAAAATAATAATTCAGATAGTAAAAAAGATAATTTTATATTTATTTATATAATTAAAAAAAAAAATAACATTATAAAATTAAATTAAAAAAATATAAAAATTTCAATTAAAAAAGATGAACTAACAAATTTGAATACAAATATGTTATCAAGTTCTTAAAAGTCTTAAAAGAAATAAATCATAGGAGATTCGAATTTTAAAAAAGTAAATGTAATAGCTCATAAAATCTAAAGTTAGAATTATGAGAATATAATATTTAATTTTTAAGATGACGATTAATTATAAAAAAATACTCAGATTTAAATTAATTATGATTTAGAAAAATCGTTATCTATTTAAATGATTTCTTCCTCTCAATATAAATCTCCAGAAAATATATATCCAATCCTTTTAAGCGTAAAGTTAGCAGATAACGAGTTTCTTTAAAAATATATACAATAAGAATAAAATCAAGAAAGAGAGGAAAATAATGAAATATTAAAAAAGGAAGAAAATAAATAATAGTAAAATTTAGAGAATTTATTTAATCCTAAAAGTTAGATTTTAAATTAATAACGATTCCCTTTAGATCTTATATGTGTAGTAGATACATCTGGATCAATGAATGATAATAATAAAATTGAATTATTAAAGAAAGCCCTTTTAAATTTATTAACTCTACTTAGTGAAAATGACCGTATGTGTCTTATAACATTTTCAACAGATGCAGAACGATTAACAAAATTGGTTAATATAGGAAAACAGGAAAACAGGGAGTTTTTAAAAAAATAAATAGAAAAGCTAAAAGGAAAAGGTAGTACAAATATAAACAGTGGAATACATTTAGCATTAGAAGTAATAAAATAAAGATAATAAAAAAATCCTATTTGCAGTATTTTTGTACTTAGTGATGGTTTAGATGAAAACGCAGATATTAGAGTTCAAGCTTCTCTTAAAAAATTTAAATTTTATTAAAATTATAATTTAGATGAAGACAGTTTTACTTTAAATACTTTTGGATTTGGAAATGATCATTGTCCGTTTTTAATGGATAACATAGCTTAATTAATGAATGGAAGTTTTTATTATATTTAAGAGTTGGAGAAAATTGAATAGTGTTTTTTGGATGCACTCGGTGGTTTGTTTTCGATTGTGAGTTAAAATGCATAGATTTAAATTAATTTAAATAATTAAAATGAAGATGAAAATAATTGCAAAATTGTAAAAGTTTATGGGTATGGATGGTAAGAAAAAAAACATAATTCTGAATTTATCATTAATATAAATTAATTTATGAGTGGAGTTCAGAAAGATTTTATCTTCGAATGTTAAGGATAGCTAAAAGAAGGACAAATTTAAGCATTATTAGTGGCAAAAGATATTAATAAATAAATATGTTTTACAAAAAGTTGTTAGTTATAAATTCTAAGTTATTAAAGTAGTTCGGAATTCGAAAAATAGATTGCACTTAACCATTTAAGAGTTAAGGGTGCTGAATATATTGATTAGGCACAAAATATGGCTTCTAATAAATAGTTTTAAGAAGCAAATTAAATTGTTTAGAATATTTTAAATGAAATAAAAGGATAAAATCTATAACTAGAGTTAAGAAATTTAATTAATGATTTGGAAGATATCAAAGGTAAACTTGACTAAAAAGAAACTGAAAAAGCAGGATGGCGTAAGTTTGTATCGTGTAGAAGAATATATATGGAATAAAAATCTGATGGTTATGGTAATTGCTATTAAAATTTGGTTTAAAAATTTATTTTTAAAAAATTCTTTAAAGTTAATAAATGACAAATAATATAAAAAAATATTATTTAAACAATATAAAATACTTTTTAATATTAGAAGAATTTTTTTTTGTATTGATATAATATAATATAAATATTTTTATTCAAAGTTTTTTTATATTAAACTATTTTTTTACTTATAAAATTATATTAATATATGCTTTATTTGTTTTGTTGTTGAAAAAAATTGAAATTTATATATAAATTTAATTAATAAAATAATATATATATTATAAGATTAACATATAAATAACACAAATTTGTTTTTTTAAAAATCATTATTTTTAATTTTTTAAAATACATAACTTTTATTAAAAATTAAACAATATCAATAATTAAATATAAAATTTAAATTTTTTTAACATTTATATTGTACTAAAAAAAATTAATTTTTAAAAAACATAAATATAATATTAATTTATATATAAAGAAAAAAAAGTGAATTATTAAATAATTATAATTATGATATTTAATAAAATATATTATAATAATAAATAATTATTTTTTATAGTTTTTTTATACCTATATCTAAAATAATTGCTGTGATTATACCTATTAAAAATTTAACATTTAAATTAAAAAATTAAGACATTATTAATTTTTTATTTTTATCTTTTGAGATAAACTAAATAAATAAATAAAATTTTCATTTTAAATTATTTTGATTATATTTATTGATAAAATATTATATTTTAATAAATAATTATTATTTCATTATATATTTAAACAATATTTTTACTTTCATAAAAAAAAAATTATATTTGTATATAAATATAAATAATAAAAAAAATAGATTAAAATTTAGTATAAAAAATGTGAACAATAATTAAAATTAAATATAAAAATTTATAATATATGAAATATTAAATAAATAGCATATATTAACTAAATAAATTAACAAAAAGTATTAATTATTAATCTTATGTTTATTGAAATAAATAAAAAATTTGAACATTAATTATAAATTAGTTAGAATTATTTCTAAAAAGTCATGATTTTGTAAACTAATAAAATTCCTAAAAACTTATATAAATTTTGTGAATTAGAATCTCAAATATAAAGGACATATATCTTTAGAAATAATTAAATTATAAATTAGAGAAATAAGAACTTTACAGTTTTTATCATATTTTTTTAATTTATGTTTTTCTATATTTCCTCAAATATTTTATTTACAGATAATCAAACTAATGTCTTTACTAAATAAAAATGTAGTAAAAAAAACTAAAAAATATAAATTTATAATATTCCAGAACTTGAAAAAAATGAATAAGTTTAAAACTATTTTTCATAATTTGAAAGCTATAAGTAAAACTTCAAAACAATCAATTTTTTACATGCAAAAATAAATATAATAAGGACTTTAATTCATTTAAAATATAATTTATTTAGGTTCAACTATATATTGATTTGAATATGGTAGAAAAATCAAAGATTTTTATTCTAATCTAATACATAATATGTAATTATTAAATAAATAAAAAAAAATTGCAAATTATTATCTTTATTTTTATTTTATTTATTTTTAATTAATTTTTTTTTATAATATATATTGTTTATATAGTTTAAAATTTATCTGTCATAATATGTCTCGGCTTAGTTTATTTGCTTTATAAAAATGTATTAAATGACAAATTATTAAATAATATAACAATCTAATATTGGAAAGTTATTTAATATTATTTCTAATGATTTAGGAACGATTGAACGATTGAATTAATTATTTATTTTCCTTTTATGGCTATACGTATTCATATATTATTTTTAATTTCTGCTATCATTTCAAACGGAAGTTTTTTATATTTATTTCTTTACAAATTTAAATAAAATTATTTAAATTAAATATTTTGAAATGAAAAATAGATATCAGACAAAAAAATTGATAAATAAAAAAAATATTATAACATTAACTTCATATAAAGAAACAATAGGGAAATATATTGAAGCCTTTTAAAAATGTAAGGATTGAAAAAATCTTGTTGGGATTATATAAATACATTTAGAGTAAAAAAGTCAAACTGTTTTTAATATAAATTCTTTATAGAGCAAATTCAGCAGTTTTTATATTAATAGCTGCTTTTATACGAATCGCTATTGTTAACTATAAAGATGAAGTGGAAATAAATAGCTCTAAAATATTTTATTTAGTATAATTACATAGTCTTAAAGGAATTATTTTCTTATCTGGAATTAGAATAGGATTTTTATTTCAATATTAGAACGTTTTGCAGAATCTATTTTGCATAAAACAATTTAAATATAAATTATGATTTTAATAAAATTAGAAAGGAATTTCTTTGAAAAACTAAAGAATTTAAAATGTAAATAAAATGCATCCAATAATTATATATATTAATTAAATAGTTTTAAAAATATATAATTTATCAACTTTAGCTTCATATGTTATTTAAGAACTCGGATTAAACATCCACATTATAACCTCTCTAATTTTTGTTTATTTACTCTTATTTTTTTATATTATTTATCATATTTGTATTTATATATACTATTTAGTTTTTTAATATCAAGTTCTGTAATAACCATAAATTAAAATATTTATTATATTACAATATGAAAATGATTTTTTTAATATTTAAATGTAATTTGTGTTGAAAATTGTTAATTATAATATAAAATAATAATAATTTATATTTAGCTAAATGATATTTCTTCTGTAATTTTTTAACAAATATATCAAAATTATAAGGTTTATTGTCTCATTTATAGTTAATTGATTTTTTTTTTAAAAAAAAATTATGAACATATAATATTATTTTTTTAATTTTATATATTTATTTTAATAGAGCTCATAGGATTTTTAATTTATAAAATGGATTAGCATATAAATATATTTTTTTTAATTTAAATATTAAAGATTAATATAGCAAATATTAAGTTTAATAATAAATTTTATATTTGCAATTTATTCATTTTATAATCTTTTATATGCTTATAGAAATTTCACTGTCTTCTTTTTATTGTAAATTATTTATTCTTTTAATATATGAATAAAAAATTTACAATTTTATTTAATCCATTGTTTAAAATTATTAATAATATTTTATTTATAAGAAATAAAAATTGTTTATTAAATTTATAAATTAGATTAAAATAATATTTATAGTATATTATTTTTTTTCAAAAAAAATAAAAATAGATTTAAAATAAAAAGCTTATACTTAAATGATTTAAATCATCTGGATATTAATTTTTTGTGCATATTTTTAAATAAGTTTTTAAAATAATTAAATAAAATAATTTAATTTATATGTGTATCCTATTTATCCTTTAACTTATTGCGAAATAGGAAACAAACTATAAATAGATAGTAAAAATCCATAAATTAATTAAAAGGATTTTTAAGGTTATGAGTTCGATATTGTTATGTAAAGAAAAAACAATAATACAAATATATATATAAAACAAAGTTTTAAAGCATGAATATATATTTTTTATTATAAATTAAAATTAAAATAATTCATTTATATATAAAAGAAAATCGCTAATATTTATTCAAGAAACATATTAAATTAATGTTTTGTGTGTATAAGAGGATGATCTTATTAAAAATGTATAAAATATTTAGTAAAATTCTATTTAAATAGGAATTGGGAATCAGAAATTATTAAAAAAAATAAACATAAATATAAAATATCAATTCCTTTTCATAAGAGTACTTTTAAAATGGTTGTTAAATAGAATAAAGTAAATACATATTGGATTTTTTTAATTCCTTTAAGTGTTGAAGCTATATTTTCTTATATGGGATCAGGTATTTTAGTTGGAATTTTGATCTGGTTAATGGAAGAAAAAGTATGGAATAGACCAAAAAAAGAGCACATTTATAATATTTTTGAAGTTGTTTATGATGTATTTTTAAGTTTGTTTTTCACTAATATTATAAATTTAAAATAAGTTAGTTCAAGAATTATTTTATGGTTTTTTTGGTTTAATATTTTCGTTTTTACAATTATTTATTAAGCAAACTTGACAGAAAAAATTTATTTATATGCATAAAAACGTTATAAATCTAAAAATTTATTTTTTATATATATAAAATTATTTTACATAATTATAGCAAACTATGAAAGCTTTTCAGATGCTTTAAATAAAAATGCTAAAATAGGTTTATTTGATACATACGGATATGAAATACAATATTTAGAATTAAAATAATAAAACATTATATATTATAAGTAAGATCCTTAAAATATATCTGTAAAAAAAATAAAATAATTAAATAAATCATAATTTAATGAAAATAATAAAGTAAATGTTTAAAGACTTATAAGATGATAAGATTGATGCTATATTAGGGGAATAATTTATTGTCGAGCATTATTAAACTTATTATTGTGATATGTTTACTATAGATGAAGTCGAATATGTTTTTAATTATATTACTTTATTTTCCTAAAATACTAATTAGTAATTTATATAGTTATATAATAATTACTTAAAACTATAAATTGATCAAAATCCTATCCTTGAAAAATTAAAATAGGTAATTAGTTAAAACGAGGAAATATAAAAATGTAATATTGATGAAGATAAAATAAAAATCAATATAAATGAATTATTAGGTTTATGGATTATTTTAGGAAGTGTTTTTTTATTCTTATTTATACTTTGGATTTTAAAAAAAATATTTAAATGGAAAATAAGTTATTATATGAGCTAATATTATACTTATTTAAGTTAAAAAAATAATTTTTATGAAGAATAATTAAATGTACTAATAAATTAAGAATGCTTAAGTAAATTTTTTATATATTTTATTATTTCTATTTTATATTATAATAAAAAAAGAGATTTTAGATAGTTATAAATAAATGCTATTTGAAGAAATATTATAATTTGAAAATAATTTAATGTTATAGAACTTTTTATAAAATAATCAAATGATTGAAATCATAGATGGTAGTAATAATTAAAATTAAGAATGTATTAACAATGATGTAAACTAAGGCTTAAGCTAAATTGATAGTAATTTACTATATTTGTAATAAGCAAATTCAGCGAAACCAAAATCTAGTGTCTCTGGAAGAATTAAAAACGTAAAAACCAAAACTATGAATTCTATAAATGATGAAACACATAATTTACGATTAAATGCAATTAAACTTAATTGAAATATATTTTATAAATAATTTATGGCAAATTATATATTTTATTTATTTGAATTATATTCCAATTTAAAATAAGATTTTTAAATTAAACTATAAAGTAAATCAAATTTATTTTACTATATAAAACATAAATTTATAATTATTATTATTCTCTTAAATTAAATATATATTTAAAAAACTTATTTTTTTGTATATCAAATTTGAATCTTCAAACTTAATTTTATATATTATTATATAAATTAATTTGAACTGCTTTTATTAATTTCAAATATTTTTTAATTTGTTTTCAATGTATTTTTTAAAAAAAAATCCAAATCAAGATAATAAGGATATTAACTATTTTTTCATGTCTCCTATTTATTTTATTTAATTGAATTTTTTTGAAAAATAATATCAATAAATAAGTAATATTTGAAAAATTAAATAGTTTTAATTATTTAAGCAAATATTAAAATATTTAGAAATTTATTTTTAAATTAAAAATGGTTTTTTTCAATAAATATCTAAATTTAATAAGGAAAGCTGATCTGTTTGGAATTCCTGTCAATTTTAATATAAACTAATAGGATAAATATAAAACTAGTATCGGAGGATTCTTTTCATTAATAATGTTAATGATTGTTTTCATATTTTTTTGGACAAGTATTTAAATATTTAATTGTTTATTTTATTTAAAAAACTAATAATTAATATTTGTATTTAAAACAGAGACTATAGATTTTTTAACAAAGTAAAATATAATTATTTAGACAAAGACCTAATTTATATAAGATCCTCCAGCTAAAAATATTACTAGTAATAGCTTTATGTTTGCGATTAGATTAGATTAAGATGACTTTATAAAAAATCCTTTTTTTAATGTAACTTTAATTAAAAGGTATAAAAATAATTTATAAATATTAAGAAATATTTTAATTAGCAATATTTTATTTTTTAAAAAAATTTAAGGCATTATTATTTTGATGATTAAAATAAAAAATAAAAAAAGTATACCAATAGAATTAGAATAATGTAACGAACATCATTTTAAAAAATTTGATAGTTAATTCTACAATTTTACTGAGTTCTTTATTTAAAATAATTACGACTTTTTATGTCCAAAGTAAATACAAAACTGAAATTTGAATATGTAATATATTATTTTTAAATATAGATTTGACTATTTAATTACTCTTTAAGGATAATTTAATTCTTAGACTTTTTAATTTGCTAAATTTGAAATAAAATTATGTGATTAAAAGAATCAAGGTTAAATATAAATAAAATATATATACTTATAAATTAATTTTATCTTTGTATTTATGAAATTTAAATAACACTTACTTTATAAAAAAGTAATTGGAAATTGTCACTCCGAAGAAAAGGTTGAAGAGTATGTTAAATAGTAAGGAGGATCGGTGGGTGTTGCATTAGTTATAACAAGCAGTATATTGAATCAAGAAAATTCAAAAAATTATAATCAATATTATTTAAATGAAGATCATTATTTTACTTTTGTTCCGAAAAAAATGAGAAAAAACACAGATACATATTTAAGAACTGTTACTATATAAACTGATGAAAGTCTGACTCCATACTAAAATATTTATAATGAAAATATAGAACTCTATGAATTAAATGATATGAAAACAACAACTGAATTAGATAATAATACTAATACTTATATATAAATATATTTAAGAGCTAGTCAAATCTATAAAATATACTAAAGAAGTTATTAAAAGATTAGTGACATGTTAAGCCACTTAGGAGGATTCATATAAATTATTTTCGTTTCAATAAGGTCAATAAAAATAAAATAAATATTAATTATTATTACGTTTATATTTGAATTATATATTATAAATTATTTATTAATAAAAAAATAGTATTATCATGATTTAATATAATAAGTTTTAATTTACATTAGATTTAGCCAATGAATTATATTAATTTGATTTTGAAGATTAATAAAATAATTAAATAGAAAGCAATAATTAAGAAATATAATAAAGTTAAATATAAAGAAATTCTTCTGATTTCAAAAATAATTATAAATTGTTAAAAAAAAATAGTGAAAATACATAGGTTACGTTTAATATAAATAATAATGATAAAAATGTAAAATAAAAGATTATTATTTTATATTTTTATTTATTAAATATTTAAATAAGATTACTAATATTGAAAATTATATAACTAATAATAATAATTAAAAAAATTAGTTTATAAAAAATAATAATAATTAAGAAATACCAGATCAAAAACATGATAATATAAAATAAGAAAATCAAAATAATAATAACAATAGAAATTAATTGAATTCGGAAAATAAAAATTAAGAAGAAACAAAGTTAAATTAAAAAAAGTGTAATGTTTTAGACAAGGACATTAATGAAATCGATAATCATAAAATCTTTGAATTTAATCATAATAATTTAGATAATAATAAAAACAAAATAAATAATTTAATAGACAATAATATTAATTAAAATGGTCTAAGTTTATATTCAAACTTAAGCAATTAAAAATAACAAAAATCAATTGAAAAGTTTAAATTTATTGTTAAAAAGTTAGGAAAATATATAGTTTGTGTTAAAAGATTCTAAGCTATTGGATATTCTAAATAAATGTTTTACTAATTAAATTAATTGAAAGGCTTGAATTTATAATCTAAAAAAAATTATATAATTGAATAGTTTTAAAGAATAGTAAATCTAAATTACAAAAATAAATTATAATTCTGTTAAATATTTAATTTTTGTAAAATAAATAAACTTAGATATGAATTATTATAAAAATCTAAACAATAAATATCAAAAGATTTAGATATATTTCTAATTTTAGATAAGCTGTAAGAAATAGATAAATTAAAATAAATTTTTTTAAACGAACAGCAATTAAATCTTTTTAATTTTATATAAAAACCAAAAATATCAAGAAAAAATTAAATAAATTTAAAATAAGTATTTAAAGCAAATATTTATAGAAATACATAATAAAAAATTTCAACTCAATAAAGTCCTCTTTAAAATAAATAAACAAGTAAAAAAAGATTTAATTCACTTTTTAATTTAAAAGATAAGTTTTAAAACATAGAAGCGTTTTAAGTAAACTTATATTAAAATCTTCAATAAAATATATTATTCCATTTATTTATAGAAATTATTTTAATCTTATTATTTATTATTGGATGATAATGATGCAATGAATTAAATGTATAATATAATATATTTTAATATAAATTTTTTATTATATACATATAGATTGAATTATCGATTAATATAATCTTTAGGTGATGATATTTGCCAAGTTTTTGAATTATCAAAATAAGTTTTTGAATCTGAAAATTAGAAATAACGAAAACTACTTTAATACTCTAAAATGTTAAAGTCGAAGAAAATTGGATCACTTTATATGAGACCTAAAATAATATCAGATTTTAAAATAAATTTAAAAAATTAAATCGAAGGTTAAAAACTATCTCCATTTAAAACATAATTTTAAGACATTTCATTTAGCAATTAATTTTAAAATTAAATAATTTGTTTTGAAAATAAAGAAGAAATTAAATCGTTACCCGAAGTACCTTAATATGATATAGATTTTAATTCTAAACAATAGTAATTATTAAATATATCATAATGTGGACATAATTATTTTAATTCTAAAGATAAATAAAAAATGTTTTAAATATGAAAAAATAAATCTTTTATATACACTAAATATACTATTTCTAAATATATTCAAATTTATGTAATTTGTAATATAAATTTTATAAAAATATTATTTTTTTAAAATAAATTAATAATTAATATTAACTTAATATTTTATTTTTATCTTTATTTTTTTAATTATTTTTAATTTAATATTTTTTTATTCAATTTATTTTTATAATGTTTCTACTTACTAATTCTATTATTTTATTATATTTAATATAGTAAATTAAAATGCTTATATAGTGATTTGAATACAAAATATAAGTAGTATTTAAATTAAATAATTTTTTTTATTTTTTTATATGTTCTTTTAATAAATAAAAGTTATAATTAATTTTTTAAAAGTCTAAATTTAAATAAATTAGAAATAAAATTATTATTTTATTTGCTATTATTTCAATTTTTTTGTTTATTATTTACATATTTATTTCTGATTTATATTTTTTTTAACTATTTTTCATTATTACAAAATTAATTTTATTATGTCCTTATAGTTATTTCATACCAAAATAGAATTTAAATATATTAATTTTTCTAACTAAATATTAATAAGAAAATAAAATTTAAATATATATTTGAATAAAATAATAGAGGAAAAAAAAAAATATATTTTTTAATATAAAATAAATAAATAAACAAATTTAAAAATAATATATACAATACAATAAATTTATTTACAAAAAAAAAATGCATTAAAATTTTTAAAACCATGACATTTAAGTTTCTTCTTAATTTAACTCTTATAAAAACTTTTACCCTTAACAATAATATTAGCAAAATTACTAAAACCCTTTTAATTAAAATGCCTAAAAATAAGATAAAAAACAAAAGTAAAAAAACAAAAAATTAAATTAAATTATAAAAAAAAAGAAATAATGATCCACAAAATATAGGAGCAAACCTTTAATAAATCGATTGGTCAAAGGAAACAATGCAACCTTTCTAAAAAGTGTTTTACAAAGAAAACTAATAAGTACGTCCCTAAAATGAAATAGATGAATATTATGAAAAAAATAGTGTTTCTGCAAAAAGTCCATATGGGAAAATTCCTTCCCCTTTCTTAAGTTGGTCAGATGCCCATTTTCCTAATTATGTAATGACTGAGGTACAAAATGCAAAATTTGAAAAGCCATCTCCAATTTAAGCTTTATCTTTTCCAATAGTATTGACTGGGAGCGATTTAATAGGAATAGCAGAAACAGGAAGTGGTAAGACTTTAGCCTTTTTACTCCCAGCAATAGTCCATATAAATGCTTAACCAGCAGTGAGAAGAGGAGAAGGCCCAATAGTATTAGTACTAGTTCCAACAAGAGAATTAGCAATGTAAATTGAAAATTAATCAGAGAAGTTTGGGAAAACTTCAAAAATAAAAACTGCTTGTATATATGGAGGCGCAGATAAATTTCCATAAAAAATTCTTTTATAATAAGGAGTTGATGTAATAATAGCTACCCCAGGAAGACTTATTGATTTTTTAGAAATGGGAGTTACAAATTTAAAAAGGGTGACTTATTTGGTTTTGGATGAAGCTGACAGAATGCTTGATATGGGATTTGAATTACAAATAAGAAGAATTTTAGGTTAAATAAGACCTGACAGATAAACACTAATGTTTTCAGCAACTTGGCCTAAGAATGTGTAAAATTTAGCTTCTGATTATTGTTAAAATCAACCTGTTCATATTTAAATGGGAAAATTCGAACTCTCTATTAATGATAGAATTAAATAAATTGTTTATGTTGTTGATCCTTCTAAAAAATAAAATTTGTATAATTTTATATTTATATTTATATTTAAATTTAAATTTTTAAAAACAAAGATTAATTAAATAATTGGATTAACTTACTTAAAAAGATAAAGTTTTAGTGTTTGCTTAAACAAGAAAAGGTTGTGAAATACTTAATAGACTTTTAGAAAGTGAAGGATTCAAATGTATGGCTATTCATGGAGATAAAACTTAAAAAGACCGTGATTATGTAATGCATAAATTCAAAAATGGAGATAATAAAATTCTCATAGCAACAGATGTAGCTTCTAGAGGTTTAGATGTTAAAGATGTTTCACATGTTTTCAATTTTGATTTCCCTAAAGTTATGGAAGATTATATTCATAGAATAGGTAGAACGGGTAGAGCAGGGGCTTATGGAATTGCTGTTTCTTTTCTTGATCCTGATGTTGATAGAAAAATAGCTAAGGAATTATTAAAAAATTTATAGGAAGCAAAATAAGAAATTCCTGATGATATTTTAGAGCTTGTTGATGTTTGTAAGCATTTTTTAAAAAATAAAAATTTAATATATATTTATTCAATAAGCATAAAATCAAAGAGGATAATACAAATAAATTTCATAAAGTTATTATGATATAAAGAAAGTTTTCACAGATAAAACAAATGAAGAAAATAATCAAGATCAAAATAAAAGGGATAATAGAGAAAGGGATAGGTCACCATCCATCAAAAAGAAAAATGATAGCCGATATAAAAAAGACTCCCCAACTAACTAATAAGATCTTTAGTAGAATTCTAAATTAAGGGTTTCCAAGTTCTCACAACCAAATTAAGACAGTAACAGAAACTTATAATACTAAAATTATCCTTAAAATGTTTCTTAATATGATCCAAGTAATTATTATAATATGCTAAATCCTTAGTCTATTGCATATTTATAATAATAATAATAGATGATGCTTGGATTATATTAAACAAATTAAGGATAGTCAAATTACTAATAAATGTATTCACTATAATAAATGTATGGAGTCAATTAAGATTATAACAACTCAGTTATAAAAAAAGGTGAATAATAGTAATAAAAAACAAACGATGAATAAAATCAAACAAACGAAGAAAAGAACACACAAAATAGCTTTTAAGAATTTTAAAATCCTAATTGAAATATTTTTTTATTATTTTAATATATATTCTATTAAAAAGAAAGAAAGAATATTTTAGGTTTTAAAAATCTTAAAAGTAAAAATATATATATTATTTTTGATAAATAATTTTTATTTATTTTTTATTTTTATTTTAATTTTTCTTAAATATTATGATCTGAAATTATTTTTTTAATTTTTTTAATTAATTTTTTGTAATATAAGTATTATTATTGGATTTTTGAATAGAAATTTTATCTGTTTTAATAATAATTCTTTTAACAAAGTATTAACTAAAATTCAAAACATAAAAATAATAATAAAAAATAAAGGTACAATGAACAACTTTAAGTAATTTATAATGATAATATTTAGAATTATGTATTTTCTTTCTTTTAATTTAATATTATAAATATTAAATTTTTCTGTTTAATTTATTTTTAGTAAAAATAAATATAATTATAATAAAACCATAAAAAAAATAATAAAATTTATAATTATTAAATATTAATTATAAAATTTATTAACTATAAATATTCTTATTATTAATATGGATTTATTTTATATTTATTAATTTATATATTTCATATTGTGATGAAAAAAATTGGGTAATTATGACTTATATTGATTATAATTATTACGTTTTAAAAAACTGAATATATATATATATATAAAAAATAATAAAGATATATATATATATATATATATATATATATATATATTTAAAATATATTTTTTTATTTTTTTATATATATATTTTCTCATTTATTTCTATTTTTTTTTATTTAATTTATTTTCAAATTTCAAATAAATGAACTTTTTAATCGTAAGAAGATGTAAGCAACAATGTTTTTCCGCCTACAGCGACAAACTATATACTAGATACGTTTTCTTCATGTCCAATTAGTGATCCTATAGTTTTAGGACTATATTAATTTTGTCTTTTAAATGCTTCCCATACTCTTGCACTTCCGTCCTTTTTTAAGATAATATCTTACAATTTATAATTAAATTTAATATTTACTCTGCATGAAGTTATTAATAATTATTTTTCACCATCTATATTCAAACATTTAATAGGATCCATATGGGCTATGAATTCGTATTCTTTCGTTAATGTTTAATTTTTTGGACTTAATTCTAAAACATTTACATATCTAGACTTTTATATATATAAATATAAAATCATATATTAATTGTTTTACATCTAATCCAACAAATATTTTATATTTTTGTTTTGAAGTTTCTCTAAAATCTAAATCACAACACCATGCCTTAAAACATATTTAAATTTATTAATACATTTATTTAGTAAAATATAATTTTTTATTTTATATTAAAAATGTTAAAATTAAAAATAATATAATGAATAAACTATAATTACCCTTTCTTCTTCATTATATGATCCAAATTATGCAATTAAATTAAAGTTTTTTGCATCAAAAATTTTACAAATTCCACCGTATTCCGAAGTACATAAATAATTACCATCTTTAGACCATTTTATATTATAAATAATTTTGTTTTCACCTTTTAGAAAATAATTAAAAAAATAGAAAAAATAATAATAATAGTAATGATAATACTTTCAATTATTTTCATAGCTGTTCCTTTACGAGTATCCCAAATAATTAATCTCTAATCTTCTCCTCCAGAAGCAATTAATTTATTATCTTCATTATATTAACAAAAATATACTTTATTTAAATGTTCTTTTAATGTAGATGTTGGTTTTCCTTTATTTAAATCCCAAATTATCAATGTTTTATCTGGAGATGCACTCAATAATTATTTTCCGTCATTTGAAAATTATGTACTCCATACTCCTTAACTATTTATTAATTTATTAAATTAATTTGTTTTAAATTTACGAATGTCCTCTTAATAATTGTGTTTCTTTAAATGTATTTAGATCCCATAACTTTATAAGATGATCATGTGAACCTGTAGCAAAAGTATTAGGATTTTATTTTGAAATAGATAATGTTTCTATTGAATTTAAATGAGCTTTTTCTATTGATTTTATAGGATGAAATTATTTTTAAAACCAATTATTTTAAAAATATGAATCGTCTTACATTTTATTTTTCTTAGAATAATATTTTTATAATTAAATAATTTAAAAATATATAAAATAATAAATTAATTATATAAATATTAAATTAGATATTAAAATTATTATTTTAATAAATATATATTTTATTTTAAATTTTAAATTTATATTTGTAATAAATTGCAATAATGTCTATTAAAATAAATTATTTACATCAATAAACATCATTTAAAGCTATTTTTAATATAATTATTTTTCTCTTCTTCATATTTTTATTCTTTAATAAATTTATTAATGGTTTCCCACTAATTTTAATAAGGAATTACTTAATTATCCTAATAACTTTAATAAAATTAATCATCTTAATTGTTTTAATGCGTTTAATTAAAACTTCTTTTTTATAATAAATTTGACTTATTAGCCTCATCTTCTTTTATTTACTAATTCATAAAGTTCTATAAAGTATGAAGCAAATCATGATTATTTTAATGGTAATTATCAATTATATCATTCATTTATACATTATAATGATTATCTTTATTATTTTATATATTCTGATTGTCATTAACATAATTTTTATTATGCATAAAAGATAATTTCTAATTGCGATTTTTTTCATCAGATTATTCCTAAGTTAAGAAATCTTTTTCTAATAAAAAAATTAAATACTAATAAAAATATACATATATAATAATATAAATTTAAATATATATTTTTATCATATAATTAACCATAATAATTTACCTTAATTATGTTTTTTTTGTAAAAAACTAATTTCCGGAATTTATTTAGGACCAATATAAGTAAGAAAAATACTAAAAAGCTTTTCAACTTTTTTCTAGTTATTTTCTCTATATTTAAAAAAAATAAAAAATTATTGAAATAAAATAAACATATTTAAAGTAAAAAAATATCTAAATATAATTAATACTTTTTCTTATTTAATTCATTCCATAAAAGTTTATTATCGGATAAAATTTGAGAATTTTAAGCTATTAAAACACTACAAGCTTTTTCTAAATTTTATTATTTTTGTTATAATTAATTCATCTAACAAATTTTAAAAATAAAAAATAAATTATATTTAATATTATTACTTCTTTATTTAAATATTAAAAATCACTTTCTATTTTCTTATGATCTTTCCATATTAATTATTCATTATTTTCTTGAATCGTATTATTATCATTCATCTTTCTTTTAATTTCACATAACAAATTTCTTTTTTGTGTGTTTTATTTTTTTTAAAAAAATGTAATTTAATTCACATTTATAATTTTTTACGGATATCCCCTTCTAAAAAGTTTATGTTTCCATTCATTTTATTCATTATCTTATCTTAATTTATGAAAATCATACATATTTAGCTTTTCAAAGTTTAATAGTTTTAATTATTTTATAATTATTATACTTATCTAACAAACGATGCAAATGTATTAGTTTTAAAATATTTTGGGAGCACTTTTTCTGCAAAAAGTTATGGACTTTTAATTTTAAATGAACGCCCGTCTTAACTCCAACTAATAATATCAAAATATTCTGAATTCTATTTAAATAATATATTAATTCTTTTTATTGATTAATTATAAAAATTAATTTTTTTTTTTTTTCTTTCAATTTTACATCCAAAATTTTATATGTTTTTGATAGAAATCCTGGAACAGTAGAAGTATTTCTAATTGTGCTTTTTTTTCTCATAAAATTTGTTATAATAATTAAATTATTTTTTATAATATTCTTTTCTTCTAATTATTTTATAAATTTAATATTTTTGTTTCAAAAAATAATAAATATTATCATATAATTTATTATAAAATTCTTTTTATTAATTTAATTTTGTTCTAATTAATTTCTATTTTGTAAATAAAATTATTTTATTATAAAAATAAACAATTATTTATCATTTCATCTTTTTTATTATTTAAAAGAAAAAAAGTATTAAATTAAAAGTTTTCTTAGTAAAACTAAAATAGCTTTATATTATTAATCTATTAATTCATTTTTTAATAATAATAATAAGATTATTTTAGAAAAATGTTTATGAACAAATAAAATATAAATTATTACTTAAAAATATTAAATATTATGAAAAATAATTTTTATTATTTATTTTAATCTAGTATATTACTTAAAATAATGTTAATTTTAAATAAACAATACAAAGATACATTTTTTTATCTTCTTTAACAAGTAAAATATAATAATTAATATTCATAAAAATTCATATTTCTTTATTTTTATCAATTCCAAAATCAAGTATTTTATTCTCTCTTTTAGAATAGTTTATAACCTAATCTTTATATTCTTCTTATATTTCAACTCCTTAATTATATTCGTTCCTTAAACCTTCTAAAAAATCATCTCTTGTATCGAAATCTCCTTCTTCTTCTAATTCTTCAAATTTATATCTTTTATTTTTCACATTTTTTATTTTTGTTTATTTTTTATTTATTTTAATTTACTTATTTCTTTTATCTGGAACATCTGTTATTTAAATATTTTCTGCCGTAATTTTATCGCCTTTCAAAGCTTTTCGAATATACTTTTGAAAAGAATAAATAATAATTTTTAATTGTTATAATTTAAAATATAATTATATTTATTAAAATATATAATAATAGTAATATGTGCTTAATAATATTTAAATTAGTTTATAATTGCAAAATAAATAATACATCATTTTCTTTTTCAATTTCTTATTCTTTTAAAGTTTTTACTTTAAAGACTGTCCTATTCATTTTATCTAATTATAATTCCATTTTATATATTATAAATGTAGAGAATGTTAGAAATGCTAAAAAAGGAAATGTATCTTTCATAAATATTCTGAATTTTCTAGTTTAAAAGTATTAAAACTTTTCATAAAAAAATAATTATAATTTTTCTAATTTTGTTCTCTATTAAAATTAGTGTGTATATGTTTCTTCTGCATGTAATTTTCGATAAACAAATTCTTTTTTTTCATCTTTTGTTGGTTTCTTATCTAAGTCTACTTATATATTTTTTTTTAAATAATTTCTTATTCTATCTTCTGGATTATCACTCATTTATATTTTTATTTACTTTTATTTAATAATAAATATATTTAATTTGAACAAAAGATTTTTATATTTCTAATTAGTTTAAAAGCTAATATTAAATTTTAATTTAAATAGAAATAAGTAATTAAAGTCAGAAAAAAGAAAAAATTAATACTATTTTATTACTTATTCATAATGTTTTTTATTTTTACAATTTTTTTAAAAAATTCAATAAAAAAAACAATAAAAATGGCCTTTTTTTAATTGAGTTTTCACAAAAATAAAAACTAAAGAAAAAATAAAAAAATCAATATTTAATAAATAAAAATTATAAATGAATATTGAATAGTAAAAAAATATTAAAATTTAACTAAGTAAAAATATTTATAAAAATATTGTATTTATCTAGTTTATATTCTATTTAAACTCAGTTAATAGTTAAATAAATATTATGTTTGAAATTAAAGAGTTTTCATGAAGATTGTAAAAATTAGATATTTATTTGTTTTTGAATTATTCAAGAAAAAATATGTTTAAATCAGTTATTTACAAGTCCTCACATTTATTATAAGAACAGGTCTGTAAAGTTATCTTCATGTTATAATAAATTATATTTATAATATTAATAAAACATATTTAATTATATATTAAGATTAAATATTATATTATTAATTTTATTTATTGTATTTTTTTTATGGTTTTTATCTTTAATTATTTATCAAACAAAATAATTTTTTTATTTTTTTGATTATTTGATTTAGTAATTTAATTTTTTTAATTATAATATGTTTTCTTTATTAACATTTTAAAAATTAATTTAATAAATATTTTTTTATCAAAATTTAATAATTTATTTTCATTTGGAAAAATAAAATATGATTCAAACAAATATTTAAACATAATAATATGAAAACATGTAAATTAAAAAAAAAGTTACAACTTTTTTTATTTATTATATTATTTAAATATCTTGTGTTTTTTCCTTATTATTTTATAAATTATTTTATTCTATTAGATTTTTTTAATAAATATTTTTAGTGATTAGAATAAAAAGGTTTTTCAGGGATTAACCATACATCTTTTTAAAATTGTCTTTTTTCTTTTTTAATAGAGTTTATTTTTAATAAAGCTCCCCAAACTTACTTAATGATATTTAAGTTTGGTGACTTTTTTTACTTTGAGAAACATTATAATACATCTATTTTATTAGTTTTAAAGAAATCTTTAACATAATTCACTATAATATTTAGATAATTATTTAGTTAAAAAGTTAGGTTGTCTTTTAAAATAACAATTTTCTTTTATTGGTTACATTATTTTTTATTATTTTTAAGTATTTCTATGAATTTAGGCAAACATCATATTAAAACCAAAGCAACCGGAAATTTTCTAGTAATCAATCTCAAAACCATGATTTCTTTTACTAGTATTTAGATTTTCTGCCTAAAAAGTTCTTACTTTTTACCTGATCTTTAAAAATAAATTTTATCTTGTACTTTTTTCTAAGTAACCCTCTGCATTACTAAATTTTTTATTCTACATTTAATTTCAAAAGAGATGCTTTTTTTGTTTTATAAATGCATCATAGCCCAAATAGTTTATAAAAGAATAATAGCAAATTATACATTATTGTAGTTAATGTTTTTATTTTTATAAATATCTGCTGTTAAATAGCAGTCTGGTTCAATTTCAATTTCTATCTTCTAGCTTATACCATTTTGATTTTCTAGGTTTATGAATCTTATCATTAGCTTTATATATTATTAAATATTAGATAATCATATTGATTTTTTTATAATTTAATTTTATTTTAAAAACTTAATTAACAATAAAAATATAATTATTTTTTTTTAGCATATTTTTGTTCATTAAGTTTTTAAATAAAAATTACAAAAAAAAAAACATCTTAAACAAATAATAAATATAAAATAAAGTATTATTATAAATTCATCTTTAATTCTTTGTTTTAAAAAAATAATTATAATAATATATATGAAAATAATTTTAAATAGTTAAAAAATTAATTAAAAATCTAAAAATTTTCAATATATATTCACGAAATAATAAGTAAAAATTTAAATATTAATATAAATATAAATTTAAATGTAATAGTTTTAAAATACTTAAATAAAGTAACATATGACTTAAAAATCAACATAAAATGGTTAAATAGATAAGTATATATATGAAGAAAAAATATATTAAAAAATTACTTTTATTTTTTAATTTATTCAAATTAAAATTTAGTGAAATAAAAACAAATAATGATAATTATTATGCTTTAAGTGAAATGTAACTTTTTGAAAAAATTACATCTTTGGCAAATAGTGAATGCAGAGATTATTTATAAATTATTGAAAAATAAATCAAATGATAAAATTAATAAAATCATGAAAATATTACATAAAATAAAGAATAAACATTAGATTAATAAGAAAATTAAATATAAATGAAACATTTTTCATAAAATAAAATAGATTAACAAAAAATTTTAATGTTCAATTTATAGTTTAAAAAGATTTTATAAAATTTCCAAAATAAATTCTTGAACGAAAAATAATTAATTCTAGCAGAAAATAAATAAAAAGATGATTAAATTAATTAATTAAAAAGTATTTAATGTAGCTTGAATAAAAAAATAGATATTTTAACGGAATAAAGCATTTAAAAAAAAGAAGAAATTGAAAAATTGAAAAACAATAATAAAAAATAAACAAAAGATTTTGAAGATTAAAATAATAATTTTTTATAAATTAAATATGAAAATTAATTAAAAGTTTAAGAAAGTTTAAAATAAAAGTGTGATTAGTAAAAAGTAAAAATAAAAGAATTATAATAATAGCTTGAAATTTTTAAAAATTAAAATTGTGAAGATAGAATTTAATTAGAAAGTATTTAAGCTTAAAATATTTCAAAATTATGAGTTTTATATGTTTGCCTTTGTTTATTATCTTTTTATTTTTGGTTTGGTTAATAAACAAATAAATAAATAAAAAGAATAGTTTTATATTAAATTAAATAATTTTTAAATAAATTAATTAAAAAACGTATTAAATAATGCGAATATAAAAAAATTGTAGTTTTTTAAATAAATTGTTTGAAAATCAAATATTTAATTTTTAATAATAAATAAATGAGCTAAAAATATTAAAAGAATAGGAAAAAATAGACACTTAATAAAACTAATAAACATTTATCTATATGGAAAAAGAAAATCAAATACAAAAAGAAAAAATATCTAATTTAAAAAATGAAATATAAAAAATAAAATAATTAAAAGATAAAAATGAAAAAGAATCTGAAAAAATTATAACTAATTTAAAATAATAAAATAATATTTTAGAAAAATAAAGTAAAAAAAAGATTAATAAACTATAAAAATTTAAAATTAAAATTCTGAAGAAATTAATTAAATTTAATAGAAAGTTAATTAATTAGAAAATGAAATAGCGTTAGAAAAAATGATTAATTCTGAAAAAGATAGCTAAATTCAATTTTTATAAATATAATTACAAAAATATAATTCACAAGTAGAATTAATTTTTTTTTTTTTTTTTTTATTAATTCACATAGAAAAGTTTAGACGAATAATTTAAGCAATCTTAATAACAAATTAATAATAATAATGATGAGAAAAATGAATAAAAAAATAAAACTTAGATTTTAGAAAAAGAAATATTAATTTTAAATAAATAATTATTTTAATTATAATAAATATAGAGCAAAGCTTAAGGTAATAGTTAATATAGTTATATTAAAAATTTTATATTATATATTTGTTAAAAAATAGTAGACTTATTTAATAGCTAATATTATAATACTATGAAATAAAAGAAAAACAAAATTAAAGTACAATATTATAATATAATAAAAATAATATAAATTTTTAATTTAAAAAAAAACAATTTAATATTTAATTTTTATATAATAGTTTTTTTAAAATTATTAATTATTTTATAAATATCATAAATATATACTTTTTAATTATATAATATAGGTTATTAATGATATTTAACAACTTATTTAAAATCACAAAAGATAAAAATAAATGAAATATTGATATAATAAAATGAATGTTATTCATATTATATATAAAATCAAAATATATTGGAATATGTATTAATAATAATGAAATATATATAAATAAATAAATGGATATAATTTTTACTTTATTTCTTGTATTTTTATTATTTTAATTTATTATTTTTTTGAATTATTTAATTTATTATTCACGAAATTCTCTTATATTAATAAATTTTATTAATCAATTTGAAATTAATATCATATTAATTAGCAACTACATTTTAATTCCTAACTAACATCCGTATTATATTTTTTATAATTTTCAACCTCATTTATTTATTCAATATTTTATTTTTTTTTAAATGCGATTTTATGTTTTGATTTAATACCAGGCTTTTTACTTTAAATAAAATTACCTTAGCTATCAATCCTTTAATAATTTATAAATAAATCTTCTTCTTGATGCTTTAGAGAATTTTTTAAAATACTCCTCTTATAACTTTGTCTAATTAAAGTGTTATTTGGATCTAATAAATCTTAAGTATTATTACTTTAATATTTTTATTAAACTGAATTATAAACAGTATTTAAAATTTCGCTATGTATATCCTAAATTAATAATGGAGCACTATTTATATTTTAAAATTAATTGTCTTCAATTGTTTCAGATATATTTTAATTATTAACACTATTATTATTATTATTAAGATCAGACATTTAAAAAAAAATTAATATTATATATAAAAAATTATATATATATATATATATAAATATATATATATATATATATATATATTTATATATATTATTATATACAATATAAATAATATTTTATAATTTTTAAATTTTAATATTTTATATTTTAATATTTTTTATATAAAATATACAATACAAAATTTAATAGTAATTTTTATTTATTATATTTTTTTTTTACAAATATTTTTTTTTTATTTTTTATCACTTACTTTATAAATTATTATATTTATAAAATTTTTATTTTATTTATTTATTATTTTATTTTAATTTATAATTTTATTTTATTATAAAAACAATATATTTTTATTTTTATTTTTTTCTCTTTTTAATTAATATTATTTATATGTTTTTTTTTTTTATATATTTAAAAATATTTTAATTGAAATTAATAATTATTATTAAAAATTTTACATTATTATATTTATTTATATTTTTAATGTTCTTTCAAATTTTTAATTATATAATATTTTATTATATATATAATTTTTATTTTATAAATTATTTTTCATAAATAATAATATTAAAAATTATATTAACTATATAAATAATAATTTATATAGTTTTTATAAATATTTAATTTTTTTTATAATATTTTACTATTTTTTAGAAATTTTACGTTAAATTTCATATAATTTATTTTCTTTTTAATTAGTTAATTGGTATATTTTCTATATTTATTTTTATTTGAAGTATTTTGAAATTTATTTTTATTTTAAATCATTATTCTTTATTAATCTTATATTATTATAATTTATTTTAAATTTTATATCTTTGGAATTTTATATTTAATTAATTAGTATTTTATATTTTATTTATTGTATATTTTACTTTTATTATATTAACAATATTTTTAAGTTTAAATCAAAGGAATTTTTTATATGAACTTAAGAAAATAAAATTTAAATATTTTTATTTTTTTTAATTCCTATTATAAGTTTATAAATTTACTATTTATTAAGTTATTCTTATTTTTAAACTTAATTATATTATATTTTCATGTTTTAAATTTATTTTTAAAACAAAAAATATAATTTTTTATTATTTTTCAGTGATTGTATATATTTTAATATATAAAAATAAAATAATTTTAATAAATATATATAATTTTGTATAAGTTTTTATAATACATATGTTTTTTTATAGATTTCTACTAAATAAAAAATTAAAATAAAACAGGTAATCAATTGTTTTTTTATTTAATTGAGTAAATAAAAAAACATTAAATAATAAAAAATCTATATGCAAGTAATATATAAAAAATACAACTTAATAATTTCAAACATTGCTTTATTAATAATTTTTCTTATCATATACTTAACTTTTAAAAATATTATTTTATATATATTTTGAATAGCTGTATTTAGAATTAACTTTAGCAGCTTTAAGCTTTTACTTTAAAATATCTCTTTACTAATGAAAAAATAAAAAATATTAAATCAAAATCAAAAAATTAAAATATTAAATAAATTATAAAATAATTAAAGATATATTTTTAATTTTTATTTATTAAAAAAAATAAAAGTATAATAAAAAAAATAAAAATAAAAATTTTATCTAATGTATAAAAATATTATATAAATAAAATTATTAAAAAAAATTATATATTTATTTATTTATTAAATTATATATTTATAAATATTTATTTATTTATTTATTTATATTTTTATTTATTTATTTATTTTATTTATATTTTTTTATATTTATATATTTATATGTTATTATTTTTTATTTTTTTTTATTACTTCATTTATAAATTTATTTTAAACAATATTTAAATTTTCTTCAATTTCCTTTTATTATTTAGCATTTTTATTAATTCCAAATGATCTGTTTTACATAGAACCTTTATTAATTAAATCAAATTATAGATAATTTTTATAAAATATAAAAATATTAATTTAACTTTTACTTTTATTATTATTTTTATATTTAATTTTTTTTTGTGATAATAATTATTAAAAATTTTTTAATAAATAGTTCGCTTCTTGTAATTGTTTGTCTTAAATGTTTATATTCTTATTATTAATATATAAAATATAATATGCAATAATAAAAAATATTTTAAACTACTTTTCCTAAAATATCAACACTTTTTTATTAATATTCAACTGCCTATTTTAAATCTTCAATATAATAATGTGTCATAGCTATTTATTAATAAATTTATGCAGTTTTTCCATGATACTTTCCAAAAATATTAATACTTCTTTCCAACAATTCAAAAAGACAGCTAAGAGATGCTTAATATTATTAATTTTCTTACAACATTAAACTTAAATTCATAAAAGAAAAGAAAGAATCAGGTTATTATTCACCTCCAATAATTCCAAAAACAAATAAAGATTTATATATATATTTATAAGCTAACTTGTATTTTTTCATAGCGAAATAGAAAAATCCTAAATTAGAATATGCCTAAGCAGTATAATAACTATCAAAGCCATAATAATCTTAGAAAACTTCAATTGATTATTTCTAGTATAAAATAGAATTCATAATATCTCCTTATTTATAATGAATACTTGCTATTTTACTATAACAGAATCCAATATCTTTATAAAAAGGACCATATATCTATTTATTTGTTTTAATATTAAAATATATACAATATTTCAAAATATACATTTTATATTATATTAGAAGCATTATGAAAAAATTCTAAAGATTCTTCTAGTTTACCTTCTTCGAGATATTTTTATCCCATTTCTATATTTACTTTGCTATCTTTTGAAAATATTTCAATAAAATTAACTATAGGACTTATCTTCGTTATATCTTAAGGCTAAAAAGGTGCTTATATATTATAATTATTATCTTTTTTAGTTTAAAAACAATAATCTTTTTACTAAATATGAATTCCTGTACTAAGTAGTAAGTCTCTTAATATTGCAAGTCTACTAAATTTGAAAGCAGAAAATTGAAAATCATCAATATTGTCTTTTAAAATATACTAGTAATTATTTTTTGCTATATATTAAATTTTATTCCATAATAAGGATGGTTTATACACATATTTTATATTTTCTTTTTACTGTTCTAACTAAAACCGTAATTCATTAGAACCAAAGATACAGTTTAATATATTAGAAATATTAAAAGACAATTATTCAGAAGTTTATTTTCTCATTATTTTTTTTATTATTTTTTTTAAACAATTTACTAATACTACTCTTTCTAATATCATCACTATGTGTGGATTTTCTTTTTTATTTATTCCATTTATTACTTTTCCTATATATCTAATATTTACTCCATGAATGTGAAAGCAATCCTTCACACTTTTTGAATCAGAAATTCTTATATTTTCTTTATTATTTATTAAGTCATTTATTAAATTAGGTATTTATTTGTTTATTAAAAATTATGATATTTATATTAGTTAGTTTTATTATTCTTTTTTTTTTAAATATATTTTTTACAATTTTTTTTTATAAATTATTTACCTTCTTTTATACAACTAAGAGTTTATTTTTATTAATTTTTTATATTTGTATTAAGTTTTATTTAATTGTTTTTTTAGAAAAATTATTCGAACTTAAAAAAATAATGTGGATAAGAAAAATTTTTATAAATAATATAATTTAATATAAGCTCTTGTCTCAAAAAGCATTATTTTTCTTTAAAATTAAGATCTGTTGGCGAAAGAGGAATTAAATTAATAAAATATTTCCTTTAATCAATGCCTTTAATTCCAATTAAATTTGTGGAAACAAGTTCATATTTTTAATTTTATTAATCTATAAATTCTACTTTCTCCTCCAAATTAAAATAATTACAAATTTTCTAAACTATTTCATTAAACTAAAAAAATAAATAAATAAATTATAAATATATTTAAATTTATGTTTTTTTATTAAAAAAAAAAAAACTTATATACAAAGTATATATAAAAAATACTTCCTCATTTTTATTTATGCTTTTCCCTTCATCAACTGAACCGTATTAAACACATTAATTATTCGCATTTAAAATTCCTGGGATAATTGATTATGCTAGTATCTTAAATCCTTTATAATTAATCAAACATTAATATTAAACACTAAGTCCTTGTATTTCTGCTTTATGTAAAATTTTAAGGTTTCTAAAATGAGTATTAAAGTTTTCTATGTCATGAAATTGGCATTATACTTTGTTTTTTTTTTATCTTCTATTAAAAAAAATATTTAATTATAAACGAAAATTCTATCTTTGCAAAAATCACCATTATTTAACCTTGTAGGTTATATATTTTTCGCTATAATCCCTTTAGCACCTTCTATTGCAGCCTAAATAAACTCACTATATACTTTTACTAATGCTTTGTCTCTGTTTAAACGCTATCCGAAATCTTATTAAGGAAGATTTTGACAAGATTATTACTCTTCATTCCAATCTCTTAATGAATTGAAATCATAACCGTATAAGTTAGTTAAAAATGTAAGAGATTTATAATGATTTTGAGGATGGTTTTACAAAATTTCAAGCTTTGGGGAAAGCCATTAAATATTATTTTAAAAAAAAGAGTTTTGTTAATATTTTATTTTGATTTCGGAGCTTTATATAGTTTGAATTAATTTATTGTAGTTTTATCTATTTTTTAAATATATATTTTTTTTTATTTTTTTTATAACTTAAATAAATTGCTAATGTTTTATAACAAATCAATTATATTAATATATATTTAATTTTCTAATGTATCTGGGTCAAATTACTTTTTTTAAGATTTATTTATAAAAAACCCTTACTATATAGAAGTAATATGAAATTTATTATTTTCTAATGTTTTTATCTAGTTTATTTAAATTAAATAAATAAAAGTAAACAAAAATTAGTTTATTTAATTTTTTTAAAAAAGATTAAGTATATAAAAAATCATAATAAATATTTAATTTTTTTAAAAAAAATATTATTTGTTTTTTTAAAAATAATTATTTTATTTTACTTTCAAATAAAAAAAATCGCCTTTTGTAGATCTATAAAAAGGAGGTGGATTAAATCCAGAGTACTTAATATATTTAACACATTCAACAATTTCTTAATTTTCTTATTAAAAGACTTACTAGATTAGTTTGTTTTATAAGCTTGGATTTATTGAATCTGCAAAACTATAATTGTTTTCTTGTTTTTTTTATTACAAAGAAGGCTAATTACCTATGTTTTCATCTTCAAAATCTGAATCGAATATTTTATTAATTATATAGGATTCGTTTTTTATTTGTTTTTGGGTTATTTCATTATTTTCTTTTAAAAATAAATTATTTAAATTTTAATCTGATTTTTTAAATTAATTTTATTTTATTTTTTAAATAAAAAAATATAAATTAATTAACTTTGTAATATTTAGGAATATATTTCTGGATTTTTAAGCGAACTAAAAAATTTATTTACATGTATTTTAGCTGTTTTTTCACTATATGGATCTTATTTTTTTAATTAATAATATTTTTTTATTAATTTTTTTTATTTTTAAAATTTTTTAAATATGTAGTTAATATTATATTTAAATTCTAAACCTAATTTTAAAACCAAAACAGCATCTTTTTAAATATTTAATTATTAAAATTCTACATATTCATTTAAATTTTTTCCTTAATAGGTAAAATAATAATTGCTATAAAAATACAATATTGTTGATTCATTTAAAAATTGTTTTATTTATAATAACATGTCTGTTTAAGAAACCTTTATTTAAGAGAAAAAAAAAAAAAAAAAACTTTCTCTATATCATTATTAGGATAATTATATATACTTACTTCTAAAGTTACTAAATTCTTTCCTAAAAATTTAAAGTTTATTTTAAAAGAGTCTTCAAATTGTTTATGTTTTTGTGCTGTTTATTGTAACATGTTTTATTTTATTTTTTTATTTATAATTTATATAAAGATATATATTTATATTTGTTATATTTTTATTGATATAGAAATCAAGAACTTTCTTTTTTCTTTTTTAATTTTTATTTTACTATATATAATTTATTCTAAAGTTTTATTTATAACTATATAATTATAATAAAAAGTATATTTAATATAACAGAATAAGAAAAAGGGAATTGTTATTTAATATTAAAATATATTTTTATTATGAAAATAGAAAATTTAATTATTTAATAATAATATTTTCATTCAATGATTCATAAAATATTTTTAATTAATTTATTTTATAACTTAATAATATTTGAATTATTATAAATAAGAATTTTCTTAAGATTAATATACAGTAAAACAGAAAAAAAAACTTAATAAATATTAAACTATAATACATTATTATTTATTATTATTATATTTTTCATAAATTTATACTTTTTAACATATATTTTAATTGATTTTTATAATAATAAATTAGACTTCTATCCTTCAATTCTTCAAATTTTTAATAGATTGATTTTATTAATACAATTTTTATCTTACCTTAATTATTTTTTCTAATTTTGCTTTTCAAAAGGTAAAAATATTCTTCTTTAGGGTTCAATTGTGGAATTAAAGGAGTACTTTAAAATAAATCTATCTTTTCTAGCAATTTTTTTATTTTCTTTGATTTGTGGATATGTGCGTTATCCATATAAAAATATACTTTGATAAATTTTTACGAATTTCTTAAATATTTAATGTTACACTTAATAAAAAATACCCATAATGAATAGCTTCTTTTAAATATTTAAAAAGTAATTAGCTTATTTTAATCAATAATTGTAATAAAAGGTAATCTCCTTTTTTTTTGTTTTTTTAAATTAAATAAATTTCTTTTTAACTTTCCTCCGTTTATAAAGTAAAGTGGGAGAAGATAATTAATTTTTAATTGCAGTTTCATATATGTATAAAAAAAATTTTGAAATTAAATATAAAAAAGCATATATTTATAAATATTTTTATTTTCTTAATTATTTATTCTCTTGAATTTTCCTTTTCTCTAACTCAATAATACATTTTTTTTTCTTTAGAAAAATATTTTAATTTTTCTTGAAAAAAAATTTGTATATCTGTAATTGTAATAATTTAATTTATGAATTGCTTGAGGTCTATAATATTTTAAAAAGTGTATTTATACTTTTTTCTTAGTAGATATATTTTTTACCCTTTTTAAATTCATATTTTATTCTTTAAATATCTTATTTGGATTCAAAATATTTCGTGGATATATAACTAACATTTTTTTTTTTTATAAGTCTTGCATTATAATTAATTTCTTAATTCATTATTAATTTTAAGTAATTGTTTCTTAAAACAAATTTAATCAGGTCAAATTTATTGATTTTTTTATTTTTAAATTATTCCAACTTATAGTTTATTAAAATAAATGATATTAATTAAAATATGCTTAAACACATGATTATCTAGATTAATTTTTTCTGTTATTTTTATTTAAATGCACACTCCATAATTTCTAAGAAAAATTAATTTTGCTTTATTATTATTAAAGGTATTATTCCGTTTTTTAAGTATAATATATTTGTGAGATAATGCTTTAAATAATTGCTTGCTTTATCCTTTTGCTTAATCCAACGCCGCATTATTTATTATTCATTATTATTATACATTTATTTATTATTATTTTTATATGATAAAAAAAATATATATATTAATCATATATGAAAATTTAAATATAATTTTCTTTTGCTAATATTGTATTTTTATTTCATTTAAAAGAAAATGAAAAACACAGAATATATATATATAATTTAAAAATAAAAATATTAATAATATTTATATAAATATGCAGAAAACAAATATTATATAATTAATATATTAAAAATATTCCCAAAAAATAATTTTTAAATCTTAATTAATAAAATAAAATAACAATTTTATTAAGTTTTTAAGATGCTAATTTATTTTAAAGTGATTTTTAATTTTTTAAGATTTTTTACCTTCTTTAGATAAAAATAGATAAAAAGGGAAATGATCATAGATTTATTTCAGTAGGATACATTAAAAAACTTTCAAATCATTGGGTTTTGTTGATATTCAAAAAAATATAAACAATTCAGTTTACAACTAAAAATTCCATTAAATTCTATTTAAATATTAAATTAAATTGAAAATCTACTGAAAAAAAATAATCAAGAGCAATTGATTTTATATAATAAATCTAAAAATTACCTCTTAAATTTTGGCTTATTTAAATTCTATTTTATTTACATCCGAATAGTAAAGTCTTTTACGAGTAGTGGAAATAATTTATATAAATTTCAGAATAGTAAATATTATTTTTATAATATAAATAATGAAAATTAAAAATTAAAAGCTATATGAGTTAAAAAGAAAACAGGAATATTTCAAAGAGCGATTGCTTAAAAATAAAAAGAAATAAAACTTAAAAAATAAAAAGAAAGATGACTTAAAAATTGATGCAATCTCTTCAATATTTAAAAGAAGAAAAAAAAAACCGAAAATTAATGATAGATAAATAAAAATAATTTAAAATTATTTATAAAATAAAAAATAAATTTAAATGAGAGTAAAATATAGTAAAACTTTCTAGATAGTTAAAATTAGTAAATAATTGATAAAAAAATTAAATATAGTAAAAAAAATACATAAAATTAACATATATATAAAAGATTAATTACTTTTTAATGTATATATAGAAGTTGTATAATAAAAACATAAAATAAACTATATTAGATTTATAATTATATAGAAATTTATATGTTCATCTTCGTTTAATAGAAATAAATAAAATTTAATTGTAAAAATAAATTATATATAATAAATAATTAAAAATCAAAATTAATATAAATAAGGAAAATAAATAAATTATAAATTATATTTAATACTTAAATATTATAAATATATAAAATTATATTTTTATTTTGCAAGAGAAAAAATTTTAAATATAGAAAATTAATTAAAAAAATTATTTGATTTTTAATATCTTATATAAATATTTTAAAGTATATAATTAAATATTCAATAGCAAATAATTTTTAAAAATAGTAATTAAATAAAATAAAAAAATTAAATTAAATATATATATATATATATATATATCATTTTGCAATTTCTGTTCGACTGAAATGTTATTATATTAATTTAAAATTTTACTATAATTTTTAATGTATTTATTTCAATAATAGCATATAACCAATTGCATATATTAAATTAATGATAAAAAAATTATTAATATATATTAAAAGTAATTCTAATTTAATATAAAATTTATTGTCTTTACTTTTTTTTTGCAATTTTTTTTAATGATTAAGCTTTTAAAAAATATAATACGATTATCTTTAATTAAAAATATTATTATAATTATATTTTTTATTTAAAAAAAATTAATAAATAAGCAGATTGATTTTTAAAATATTAATTAATATTAAATTAAATAAAATTAAAAATATCATATAATATAAAATAATATATTAATGAGTATGTAATTTATTAAATTATATTTATTATTAAATATTTTATTTAATTAAAATTTAAATTAATTTTATTTAATTAAATTATAAAATATTTGAAACATTTAATTTATTTTATATTATTATATTTGTTTATATTTAAAAATATAAAAATTGTTTTTGTTTTTATTCTCATATTAAGGTATTTTTTAAGAAAGATATATTCTGATTTTTAAATTTTAAAAATAAAAATATTTTCTTTAAAATTTTAGGATTCTTATAGATTCTTTGTGATTTTTAAATCCTTTAATTTATATCAATGTATTTTTTAATTAAATTATATTTTATTTGAAAATAAAATATAATTGTATTTTTTATAATTAATTAAGAATTAAATTATTTGCTTAAAAAAGATATATTAATAAATCAAGAAATAAAAATTAAATTTTATTAATTTTATATATTTTAGAAATACATATGCTACATATTTTACAAATGCAATTTTCCGATATTTATTTTATTCATTTTTCATCTTCTACATACCTAGCTATTAAAATCATTTTTCCTATTTCGCGCTTTAAGAGAAAATGCCGCAACCGTTAAATTTTTAAACCGCCAAAAATAAAATAAAAATGCAATAGTAAATAATTAGAAATAATTTAAAAAAAAAGCATGAAGAAAATTAATTATAATAATTTAATAATTAAATAAGTATATAATTATTTATACACAAAAAATTTTAAAATAAACATTTAAAAAAAATGAGCTAATAAGAAAACTTTTACACTTGTTCTGCACCGCCGCTAACAGTGCAATAAGTAAAAATAAACGAATAATTAAATTAAGATATATTAAATGAAGAAAGTTCCTAAAGAATTTAAAATAATAGCACTAGTAATGAGGAAAAAAGTTTGACTCCTTAATTATAAATAATTTGTTTAGGAAATTAAGAAATTGAAGATAATATAATAAATTAATAATAATTAGATAAAAATAAAAAAAAAGCAAAAGGAATTATAAAATTAAATAAAAAAATATCGAAAATAACAGATTACATTAACTTTAATAATAAAAATTTAGTTTCTATTTCTTCATAAGAAAGCAATTCTGAATAAAATTAAATAAAAAAATTAAAAAGATTATTAGAAGAAAAAGAATAAGAACTTGAAAAAAAAACAAATTATGTGAAGAACTTTAATAAAAATAATAATTATAATAAGAATAAATAGGTTTTAAATAATCTTCTAATATAAGCTAAAATTAAAAAGATTAAATTAGAGAATTAATTCAAAATATTCTTTAGAGAATTCTTAAATAAAAAGAAAAATTAATAAAATGTATTTATAATAATAAAACACTACTATTGGATATTATTAAATGTAATAATAATAAATATACACATATAAAAAAAAAATATTAATTTTATAAAAAAAGTGACGGAAGTACATATAAAGAATAATGGGTAGATGGAATCGAAATGTAGGAAATTCATAATAGATTAAATTAAATAAATTCTCAAATAGAAATTCTTTAAGGAAGTATTGAAAGTTTAAAAAATAAAAAAGGATTTAAAAAATTAAATGATAATAGTGAAAATAAAAAAGCTTTATATTTTTAAATATCAATATTATAGTATAGAAAAAGATTTGCTATTAAATAAATTCAACTAAAAAAAAATTGAAATCAAAGAAATAATAAAAAAAACAGAAATGTAATATTTAGAAGAAAAGTAATAACACATTTATATATGACTTTTTAATTAAAATAAAAACTTTTAGCTCAAGGTATGGTTAAACATGGCCTGTATTAGGATAAAGATATTAATTATTGTGTTTATTAGGTAAAGGTGGTTTTAGTGAAGTATATAAAGTAATTAAAAAAAAAAAAAAAAAGTAATTATTAATTAAAAAGGCATTAGATCTAGAAGATTTTAAAGAAGTAGCCATAAAAGTACACAATATAAATTAATCTTGGAGTGTATCTACAAAATAAAATTATCTAAAGCATGCCTTCCGTGAGCATCAAATACAAAAAGAATTATCTTATTTCAATATAGTAAAATTATATGATTATATAGAGATTGATAAAAACTCATTTGGATCTGTATTAGAATACTGCGAAGGCCCTGATCTATCTTAATATTTGAAAAGGAATTAATGCCTTTTAGAAATAGATGCAAGATTTATAATAAAAAAAATACTTGATTGCCTTTTATATTTAAACTCTTTACCTAATAAAATAATACATTATGATATAAAACCTTAAAATATAATATTTCATAAAGGATAAATAAAGTTGACTGATTTTGGGCTTTCGAAAATAATAAATGATGATGCAACAAGAATAGAATTAACAAGTTAAGGAGTAGGTACTTATTGGTATTTACCGCCTGAATGCTTTGATATTAAACAAGAAAAAGGTCCTGATATTTCTTCTAAGGTTGATGTTTGGAGTGTAGGTGTAATATACTTTGAAATGCTTTATGGGTAAAAACCCTTTGGTAATAAAATGACTTAACAATAAATTCTCAAAGAGGGTGTAATTCTAAATTGTAAATAAGTAGAATTTTCCTTCTAAACCTATAATCTCAAAAGAAAGCTAAAACTTTATAATTGGGTGTCTTTAATATAAGTAAGAGGATAGGTTCGACATACAAAAAGCAATAAATCATCCATGCTTTAATAAAATATGAAAAATCTGGTGTTATTAAAAAAATCGTTATAAATTTATTTTTGTATATTAACTTTTTATAAATTTTAAATATAAAAATAATAAATTAATTTTTTTATAAATTAATACACAATTATTTAATTATTAAAAAATACCTTACCTTTATCTTTTTTAAAAAATAATTTTTAGATTTTAAGGTAAACTTATAATTATAGATTTTGTTGATTATAAAGAAGTTAACAGCTCATTCTAAAAAATATAAAATATTTTTATTCTAGCCATATCAATCAAAAGTTTTTAGAAACATCTTTTAATCAAATTTGTATAAATGATATATTTTTAGTATATTATTTGTTCATATTGTTTTTTATATTATTTTTTGTAATTATTTATTAAATATTAAAAATTTAAATCAAAATTATATATCAATTTTTTTTTTTTAAATTGAAATTAAAAAAGTAATAAAGTAATCTAAGGTTTTGAATTGTATATTAAATTTTTTTATAGTGTTTTTAATACAATTAAATCAAGCTACTATAAAAATATATACAAATTATTGAAATATTTATAATTAAGTTATTTTGCAATAAAAATTATTTATCTCTATTTATTATTATTTAAAAAATTATTCAATTCTTATATTAAATACATTACTTAATTTCCATACAATATTGGGATATTATATATTATTATTTTAATAATTTTATAATTTTTTATGTATTTGTAACTATATTAATATATTAATTTTATTTTTTTATATAATTAATAAAAAATGATAGAATATGTTTACGTAATTATTAATGTTTTAAATATAAATTGTTTACAAAATTAAAAATTAAACTCTAACCATTTTTTATAATACTAATAATTTTTAAAAAATGTAATGTTATTGTAAAGTATAGTTATTTTAAAATTTATTATATTTCTTTATACATTTTTTAAAAATATTGATAATAATATAATATTTTAAGATTATTTTGATAAAATAAATATTTGAATAATATTAATAATAACTTAAATTTATAATTTATTCTTATCAAATTTAGAAATATAATAATAATTGTATTCTACTAATTATATAAATTTTTATCTGTTTGTTGTTAGGTTTTTGAAAATTTTATTATTATTGAATAATAAAAAATTTAAAGATAAGATATTTTATAATTATTATAGAAAATTTTTATTAAAATATACTATTATATTTTAAATTTTAATTTATAGACTCAATTAATTATTATATACAAATTATATTTGATTAAATAATAAGAATATATTTTTTTAAAAAATAATATTTTTGTTTTAATATTATTTTGCTATTAAATTGATTTTTTAAAATAATTTTTAAAAAATATTATTTAAAAAATTTTTATTAATTCATATATAATTAGTATATCAAATATTTTATAATAAAAATGTAAATTAGTAAATCGTCTTTATAATCAAATTAAATATAATAAATCACACAATAAAAGATCTTGAATTTATATTCATTAGATTATAAAAACCCTTCCATACCAAGAATTTTAATTTCATAAAATAGTTTAGAAAATTTACAAAATTAAATTTACATAGAAAATGATTTTTAAAGTATAATTAGTAATGGTCTTTAATATTAATACAAAAAGAAATATAATCCTTATTAAATACCTCCTGATTGGGACATAGCAGAAAACCATGCGGTATAAAAAATTATGTTATTTTTAATTTTTTTATATATATATATGAAAATATAAAAAATTCTATTAAAATCAAAATTTTATTAATTATAAAGAAAAAAATCTTATATTAAAATTAAATAAATTTTTTGATTTCACTATTTTGTTTCAGATAAAAATATATGTATATTACAATAAAAAAGTTTATATTTTATTTTATGTTTCTTATTACTAAAATTATATAAATAATAGAATTCAAATAAATTTGGAAAATCTAAATTATTTTAATATAATTAAAATAATAATTAAGATTAAATTACAGAATTATGTCCCTGTTGTAATTTTGAAATTGTAAAAAAATACTAATCTATAAAATAATTTTTTAATATAATATGTTAAGAATAAAAGATCAATAAAAATATGTGAAAATACATCAAAATTTACTTTTTTAGGATCTGGGTATCCCCTATTTTTCAGCTATATCAAATGCTGTTTAGCTCTTATAGGTGCAATACTAATAACATCAGGATAATATAATTTAATATCAAATTTTTATGGGAGAAGTTGCAATAAAAAGCTAAATATGTAAAAAAGAAACAAATGCAGAGCTGATTGGATTTCAATGTTTACAATAGTAAATAAGAAATTTTAATTAAATTTAGGAGAAATTTAAGATATGTTAAATTTTACAACAATAATTGTGTTAATGATTATTTTATTTTTGTTTAGGAAATAATAAAAAGAAATAGATATTTAATGTGATATTGCAGAGCTAACTCCTTCTGATTATTCAATTATAGTATATCTTATAAATATAAATTATTTAATTTTTTTTATTAATATTAATAATTATTAACAAACATTTAGATTAAAAATTTACCTATTGATACAAAAGAAAGTGATTTATTTAGTTATTTTTAAAGTATGAATATTAATAATCAATATGTTTATGTTAGTGAAGTTAACATGATATATAATATTTAAGATATTTTAAAATAAAGAGATTAAATTTAAGATTTGATAAAAGAAAAATAGAAACATATAAAATATATAATATAAAATCCAGATTTAAATTTAAACTTATAGTAAAATACATTATATTTAAAATTTTTATTATTATAAATAACAAATAAATATAAAAGATATGAAGCATAATAATGGGATTATAAATTATAAATAGAAGAGTCAAAACTACGTTAAATAAAATAACAAACAAGATACAATAAAAATTTATTCTCAGGAAATGCAATCATTGCTTTTTAAACCGAACAGCAAAAAAATTTAGTATTAAGTAAAGCGAAAAAATCATGGATAAAATAAATAATTGAAGCGGTTTTATTTTAATAAAATGAATAAAAAGAATTAATATATAAAAATGATTAAATCATATAGTAATTAATATTATATAAATAAAAATAATAATTAAAATAAAATAATATAAAACAAAATTTAAAATAAATAAGTGTTGAATAAGCACCAGAGCCGTTAGATATTATATGGGAGAATTTCATTTACAGTGAAGTTAACAAAATAATAATATATTTTTATAGTTTTTTGATTACATCAATGCTTTTTGTTATTTGTTCTTATTTAATCTACATTTTAACTAAATATGAAATAGACTCAGTCTAAAGTAATAATGATACACATAAAGAAGAAATTGAAAAATCTTAATATGAAGACACTTCATAGTAAATAATAAATTTAATTATATAGTAATTACCTACGATTGCTGTTTCATTTGTTTTGGTTATTATAAATTCTATTTTAATAGAATAGGCTTTAAGAATTATTGTAAACTTTGAAAAATATAGAACTATTACATTATATAATGTTAATCTAGCTCAAAAACTTTCGCTTTTTCTTTTTATTAATAGTGCTTTAGTAACATGGTATATAAATGCATATTACACAGGTAAAAAAAATATTATTTTATATTTTAAATTTATATATATTAAAGAAAACTTATTTGGTGAAGGAGGTTTAATTTATACAATTTTTTATTTTTTTGTTTTAAATTCAGCATCTTCTTTTGCTTCAAATTTTATAACTCCTTTAGATTTTTTAAAGAAATTTATGATTTTTTTATATAAAAAATAAGGATAGAAATGTCTTTTAACTTAATAATAAGCAAATAAGTATAATTAATATATATTTTAATTTAAAAAATAATAGATTACATGAATTGCCTTCATATGAAATAGAAATAGGATATGTAGATGTTTTAAAAACTATGTATATGACTGCTTTTTATTGTCCTTTAATTCCTTTAGGATTAATTTTTTCATTTATTGGTATTTTTATTTATTATTGGACACATAAAGTTCGTATTATTAAATATAATTTTATTTATTTTAAAATAAAATATAATCTATATTTATGTTATTTTGTTGTAAATAAAAAAGTTTGCATTCTTAAATTTTAAAACTGTAAATAAATAAATGAGTTCGAAACTTTCAGTTGAAATGACTGAATATTTAGAATATACGATTTTTATATTTGCAGTTTCTAATAGTTTGTTTACTTATTACACGTATAATTAAATATCTTATTTATAAATTTCAGGAGCGGTATTAGCTATTTTATATTCAATCCTACCAATTTAACTTATTGTCGAAAATATATTCTTTTATGATGAAGTTGATGAATAGATTAATTATGAATAAGCGTAGTCTAAATTTATTGCCACTTATAAATAATGTAATCCTGTAACATCAGATACAATTTATGATTTAAAGATTAAAAATGATTTAATTATTGTTTTGTGATATTTCATAATCATGATATCGTTTTTTTAAATTAAAAAAAGCATATTATAAATGATCTAATATTTATATAATTAATTTATTATATATTAATGATAATGTATTTAATAAAAATTATAGTTTATAAAAATATTTTAATATAAATGATTATTTAAATATTATTTCATAATTTTTAAAAAGTTTATAATTTATATTAAATATTTAAAAGATATAAATTTTCTATTTTATTCAAATGTAAATCTAACTATAAATAATCTTATTAAGTTTCTTAATATAAATCAAATAATTACAATTCATTTTTAATATTCCATCTAATTATTTACTTAGTATTTATTTTATATTAGATTATTTATAAGGACATAAAGAAATAACCTTTCCTTTTTCTAAAATTTATCCAAAAAAAGAAGAGTAGAATGAATTAATATAACAAAGTAAACAAAGTATTTAGAGATCTAATGTATTTTAAATGTTTAGCTTGTTTTTTATTTAATTATTCCAAATTTTATATATAAATAACTTAATTTTATATTATTTTTTATATAAGAACTAACTATATTAACAAAAATACCTTTATTCATTATTTTTTTCATATTGATTGAATTTTTTTTTAAAATTACACAAAAATAAAAATAAAAAATTAGAAAAAGCAATATAAAATATTTGATTAAATATTATTTATTATATGATTGCAAATTCTATTTTTTTATAATAAAAATATTCAATATATGTTAAAGGAGAATTCAATTAAAATGATTCTGATTCATTTTAATCAATAAATAAGTTATTATAATCAAATAATAAATTTATTTTATACTTTTTAATAATTAATATTTTAATCATTTAAAATTATTTATTATATATAATTGGTATTTTATTAATTTTTTTTGTAATAAATAATTAATATTTTTAGTGTTATTTAAACTTATAAAAAATATGTATTATGTCTTTTAGGAAAAATTTAAACAGTTATAATTCTAAAAAAGGTATTAAAAATTTTGATAAATCAGGAATTTAATTATTATTAAAATTAAACTAATGCTAATTAATATTGTACAGCAAATATAATTTAATAAATTTTATTTTATAATCAATAAAAATTAAATTTCTTCAAATATTTTACTTATTACAGTATAAAATCCAAAATAAATTAATTTTTTAATATATTCACATATTTTATAATTATAGCAAAAATTCATGTCTAAAGTTTCCTAATTTCCACCAGAGAAACAATAAATTCCTTCATAAGAAATCAAAATTTAGAGCTTTTAAGTATAAGGATTTCATATTTAGTAGTTTTTTAATTTTTTTAATTGAAAATAATTCTAAAAAAATAAGAAAATTAATGAATTTAAATTTTTAGTAATTTAAGATTCTATCATAAAATTAAAATATGTTTTTATTAATAAATAATATTTTTTAATTTAAAAATTTAATATCATTATTATTTAATTAATATATAAAAATAATAATATTTACAATTAAATAATCATGTAAATTTATTCAATGAAGAATAAATATTTAATTAAAAATAAAATGTTATCATTCTATATTATAAATATTTATATAATTATAACAAATGTTAAAATTAAAATTATAATTTCGTAGTATTTTTATTATTCAAAAAATGTAAACAAATATAAATCATCCAATATATAAAATACATTTCAAAAAAGTTCATTATATTATGAATCTATACTTTGTGATTATTTTTCAAGTTTAGAAGCAAATTAATCAATCATAAATTTGTTTTGTTGATTATTTTATTAATTTTTACTTTCTTGTTCTAAAATTTCATAATCACTTTAAATTTCTTCAATTTCATCTTCCTTATTTTCTTTTATTTCTTCTGTTTCTTTTATTTCTTCAATTTCTTATTCTTCTTCTGAAGTATCATTTTCTTTTTATTCGTTGATATGATTATCTTATTAATTATTTTCTTCATTCAAATTTTTATTTTTAGAATTATTAGCTTTTAAATTCATTTACATTTCTATTTTTAATTTAAATAAAATAAAAATATTAAATATGATTTATTATCAAACCTTTTAATTGTTCTGCAAATGATTCAAATCCTATTTCATTTAAAGCATTTAAAATGCAATTTTTTGTTAGCTTTTTTTTATTGTTATTTCCTTAATTATATTTTGATCTATTTTATATAATGAAGATTAAAATAAACTTAAAAATACATGTATGATAAATAAAATAAAAATAAAGATAAGCATTTCGAAAATTCTTTCCTAAAATTAGAAGAAAATAATATTTCTTTAGGTAATTTTTATTTTAAAAAATTTAAAATAATAGAATTTTGAATTTCAGGAATTTTATCAGACATTAAAAGAATAAAAAAAAAAGATTTATTTGTAAAAAAATTTAAAAAAAAAATAAAAATATAGGTACAAAATATAAATATATATATATATATATATATATATATATATATATATATATATATATATATAAATAATAAATAATAAATAATAAATAATAAATGAAAAATAATAATAGTATATGATATATAATATTAATTTATTATATTAAATTAATCAATAAATAAATCATATTTTTATTATATATTTTATATTATTATAAAAACATTAATTATAATAGATAAAAGTGAATATATAACCTTTATTTTTATTTTCATTTAAATTATTTTTTTTAATTTATTTTCTTCATTATTTTGATTTAATTAATATGTTTTTTATTTAATAATTTCATCATTAACTTGCTTCTTAAGAATTTATTTTTATATATATTTTTTCTTTATTTTCTCCTCCTATACTTATTCCTTTTCCTTTAAAAATTTATTATTAATTGTTTTTTATATTTATTATTTAATAATTGTTATTTCCTTTTGAAGTTGTATTATTTCTTACTTATTTCATCGGATCACTTTTGATACCCTAAAATATTTCTTTAGGTAAGCAACACCTAAAAATATTTCCTAAAGAAGCTACTCTGTTAACGTATTTAGGAATGCTTTTTCCAAGTAGCTTTTCACATACTGCATTAGAAAAATGATTGCAGTTTCTTTATAATACATCATATGTATTACCCGCAAACTCTTTTTTTAAATCTTCTAATATTTAATTTACTTCACTGTAATTTAATTTACATTCTCCGATATATTAACTTGTCCTAAAAACAACGTTACCGTTTGTAAATTCTTTTGGTACTGATTAACATACCCCTGTTGAGCTTCCTTCGTGGCCTCCAAAATGGTATTCATTATTATCTATTTAAATTCCAGTATGGAATACTCCGAAGCCTATGGAATGCAAAAAATAATTTGCTGGAGTTAAATCATATATATTTAAATAAATTTTCATTTTTTTTTAATTATTAATTTTATTTTATTTAATAAATTTTTAAAATTATTAGTATATATTTTTTTGTTCAATTAATAATTATCAAAAAAATAAAATTTCAAAAAAATATTTACAAAACTATAAATATAATTATTGATTGTAATTTTTTATAATTTATTTATATATATTATTGTTTCTGATTTTATATTTTCTGTAATCCTTTTAAAAAAAAAAAAATTTATATATTTTTTTGGAATTTTGTTTTAGTTAATTTAGTTTTAAAATAAATTAAATTAAAAATTATTAATTTAATTTTTTTTTATAATAAATTTTGAATTAAATCAAAATATTATATTTTAATTAGATGTTTCTGATTCAATTAATATGCATTAATATAATTATAAATATTAATATTTTAATTAATAATAATATCATCATAAAAACTAACTTAAAAAAAAACATTCTATTCATTTATAAATCTTAAATAAATTATTTAAAATTTTTATTATAAAGTATATATTTTAATAGAAAAATAATTATGTAATTAATTATAAGATTTTTACTTTTTGATTGTATAATTTATAAAATAGTTTTATAAAAAAAAATGAAGAATATCTTCGGAAATATTGATGATGATGAAAATGAACCTGAACAAAGTTAAAAAAATAAATTTAATTCATCAAATAAAAATTATTTACTATAATAAATGCAGCATAAAAGATATTAAGTATTAAAAATTATATTAATTTTTTTAATTTGTATTCAAAAATAATTTAAATTTTTAAATATTTAAAAAACATTTAAGGAAAATGAATAAGCTGTAAAACTATTAATGGAAGATCCAACTCTTTTTGATTATGATGGTGAATATGATAATATAAAAAATTAAAGATAGTAATAATAACATTAACTAAAATAATAAAAAGTAAAAAAAAATTAATTTAGAAAAAATAAATATTAATAAATTTGAAGAAAGAAAGCCAAATTATTGGTAAAATTATGGAGGCAAAATAAAGAAGAGATAGAGAAATTATTATTATGAGAGAAAGATTAGCAGATAAAGAGTTATAAATAAATGGACTTTCTTCTTAAAATGAACAAAGATATATTACTTCTTCTTATTTAAAGCAACTTGAAGAAAATAGAATTTTCGAAGAAAATGATAGAAAAAAAGAAGAGAAAAATGAATAAAATTCTGCATTTAAAAAGGTTTTAATTTTATTAATTTTATATTTTTATTATTTTTAAAAAGGGCTCTCTTGAAAATTTTCACAGAAATTTGCTTTCAAATAAATTAATTGATAGAAGAGAAATAAAATAAGAATTAGAAAATAATTAGAAAAATATTGAAAAAAAAAAAATACTTAAAAAGGAATAGAAATAAATATTGATTAAAATTTAAAGCATTAGTAAAAATTAAATAAATAAAATGAAAAAAATTATACAAGATCTAATTCTAGATCTAGATCAAGATCAAAATCAAAACAAAAAGAAGAAAAATTAAAAATAAACAAATAATAAGATAAAATTTAGGCATAAAATTTATTATCAGAAAAAATAGAGTTATTGAATTAAGAAGTAGAAAATAACTAAAAAGAACAAAAACAATATAAATAAGATAAAATCTTATCAGCTAAAGAAAGGTATTTACAAAGAAAAAACTAGTAATCATAATTCAAATAATAAAATTAA